ACGAAGTTATTAGCGAACGAACGTTTCGCAAGAAATAAGACTGCATCATAAGCCATCATCCCATTCACTTTAATTTCACATTTGAGGACGTTCTGTGCTTAAACATCGGTTGATAGAGTGGAAATAACGGATTATGTATTTATAAAGAGCGTTCTGTGATAAGCTGTCCCTTATCTCTAAAGGAAGGAAGCCGAAATGATTTAGATTTTTCCATTTTTGTGACGTTATACAGTTTGATGTCAATACCAGTCTCGTACCCAAGCCATTCACTGTTAGTCTGACGCTGCCGCATAAGAGAGGAATCATGTATTTGTTTTGGGGTGTTGGCACGCGCGTGTTTTGATGCCCACATGTTGCAGCAAATACTCAGTGTATAGGTGTTTCGTTACTGTTGATTTGAAGTAATACTTACGATGTTCTGTGTTATAAAGCTCTTTCACTCTCCGTGATAATTTATCAAATTAGTTTTCTCAAACGTGCTTGATTGCAAGTTGACGCAAACACTGGTTTGTAACGTCTAGTTTTGTGGTTATGTGTAACTACATTAGCCCTTGGTTTACTGCTTATGGTAAACAATCAACATTTTACAGCAAAACGGATAAGTTTTGCTTGTTTTTGTAGCCTCAAAATTTGTGAGATGAAATTAAGTTTGCATTCAGTTTGTTTATTGCACAAACAACTGGGACTTTCTTAAGTGAATAATTTCTTTTTTCTTGGAAAATGTTTTTTTGCTGTATATCAATAATAAACTGTTTTAGTAAAACTTGTAAATGGTTTTGTAGCAAGCATTCAATACTTTTTAACAGCCAAATATTTAGAAGAAATTACGCTCAATTTAGAAATTGTTGTTGCTAATTTACTTGTGTGTGGTTCAGTAGATTCAAGGCTTACCTAATAGCCTTTTGTCATGTTTTATTCGGAAAAACGATCATAAAATCTGCGGTGAAAGGTTAATACTGTTAACAGCTCTGCGTCCAAGAACAGGAAAGTTTCACTTGTTATAGAAATTTAATTTTATAATTTTGTTGCTGGTGAAGACGAATTTTCTCCCTAACTTTTATTTCCAATCTACAGTCAAGTAGGGAAACAAGTTGTTTTGGACAAAGGTCAACGATCAATAACCACGTGATAACAATTAATGGAATACCGCAGATTGAATAGTAACATGGAGGAAGATGCTATCTCGGCCCAGTTTCTAATAAAGCTAAGCATAATTCATAAATTAGTTGTAAACGTCCAAAGTTGGTGCCATGAATATTTGTTTTGAATTTTTAAAATAGCGTCATCGATTTTACATTATCCTGGCGTTCCACTTTCGGTTTTTTTTTTGTCCAAATTAGGCAAAGAAGGCCAAGATGTTTACTCGTGTGTAATATTTTCAGAGGAAACCATAAATGTAGACATATCAGGTTGCTACTTCCGTAATGAAATTGAACTTGGGCATTTTCGTTCAGGTGAAAACTTGTCATAAAGGTTTTTTTATTATTATTTCGTGACATTTTAATTACAAATGTAAAAAGTGTGAATTGATAATTGATGTTCCTTTCATTTCGGCCAGGTTTTTTTTTAGGGTCATATGAAACTCGTGAAAACCATCATGACAGCGTTCTTTAATCATGAATTATTCGTTGTAAAATTTATAAGATTATACGATCCTACACCTTTGTTCTCGGCCTTCAAACTGAAACACGATATTTTCTTGGGTCTATCAACTTGTCGAACGCTTTCGAATCTACATTCGTCAATTTGACTTTAGCATCGACTTTTAGGAAAGTGAATCTTCAGAAGAAACGAGTTTACTTAGGTTTGGCGAGGTAATAGTAAACAGAAAGTCATTTTGAACATTCGTTGACTTTTCCACTCCGCCAAGCTTTGTTTGCTAGGAAATATTACACCAACTCTAATCAGAAGGAATATTGTACAAATATTGCTGGGGCTAAAGAACGTATGTGTACATTCGCATTGAAGGAGTTTGTGTGGTTTGTAATTTGCATTTTGATATTTTCTCACTCGGGTTGGCGCCTGTTATTTGATTTGACTGGTCTGTGACCAAGATATCGAATTAGCCGATATCTGATATTTTGTCATAAATCGTTTTATTAGGCTGCGCTCGGTGCCGAATTTATTAGACACTGACATGTCGCTTGCAAGAACCTTTCATTTGTTTCTGAGCTCCATTTGAGGCCTGGAAGGCGTACATTCGGAGCTATTCTCTATATCTCTTGTTTGGTAAAATGCGTGAATGTTTTGACTGACAAGGGAAAACTATTTGAGTTTTTATTTTTGCATTGTTTGAATAAGACATAATTTTCTAATGGTATATAAAAAATACAGAAAATACTCAATAGAGAAAAGTATAAATTCTTTAAGGCCAAGTGCGCACTGATAAAAAGATATCAATTGAGTTCACATTTCAGCCGCTTATAAAAAAGAGAAACAATCACCAAAAACTATCGGTTTTGTTTGATAGTAATATGATAAAATAAACTTTCGCCGGATTTTAGGTGTGTACGTCTGGATTGCTATTTCAAGTTTTGAATAATATGTGCCTAATATTGCTTGGCGCCGGCTCCTTTTGAGCGGAAGTTGTTGTAAATTATTTATGCTGTTGATTCAAGGACTTTTCATGTACTTGTGTGCGTTTCCCAGTGTGCTAGGTTTTTTTTTAATAAAAACGCTTTTGACGGTCGGAAAACTGAAAAACTGTCTTTTTGTCCTGCCAGTTAGCAAGGATCTTAAGTTAACGAGCGAAAATGACAATTCTGATTGTAAAATTGTCTTTCAGCACGCCACAGGTTGAGCAAATTCGTGGTCAATATTGTATTACCAATAAGGCTGTTCTTTGAGCCTCCATATTGTTGTTGAATTATCGCTTTTTTAATACCTTTTTGTCGCCGAAGTACACTGAGTATTAAACGTCTCATTTGGACATGACGCCTTTTCTTCTGTGTTATCTCGCTCGGTGTTGTCTTTCTCTTTTAGTTTCCATTATGATTTGTTGTTGTTTTTTGGTTGCTAATTTGTTGACGGGGTTTTCATTGCAATCTATGCAGCTATCTACTGAGTCATTCCTGATCAACCTGCGAGCTAAAGTTTCCTGCGTAGGCTCGTCTCTTGCTTAACAGCGTTTTTCTAGCAGGATAATTAAACTTTCAGGGATGTTACCCAGTTGATTAGAAACTCCAGCTGAGGCGAACAAGCCAAACTGGCGGGTTTTATTTTGTCATTTGACAAGAGTTATTGCTCTTTCAGTAAGCTACCATACAGGCATCTCACTGTGGTTTTAAGCTTTGTCTCAGGGCGTTTCTAACTCTTATTGTTTTCATAAATCAAGTATCCTGTCTTGAATGCATGTTTTTGAAGGGAAATTATTCACACAGTAACATTAACTTATGCGCGCTTTTGTTCACAGTGACGTTTTCTTGCTGATCTCTACTATCCTTTTGTCCATGTGGCCCGCCTCTTGCTGATTGTGTCAATCAGTCAATCTATGAGTCAATCAATCATAAAACCAACCAATCTTTTTCATGGTCTTCGCTTGGCGGCTGTCTTTGAACGCTGAAATGGCTTCTTTAATTCGCGTGGGACAGAAATGATTCAAAGTAAACCATATTGATTTTTAAGCCGGTGATATATTGTAATATTATCACTGAGCTTTTCTTCAAACTTTCTTAGCTTTTGTTCAAGGAAAAGCCTTTTCATAGATTTAAATATTAAAGTGCTTTTAAAGCCAAGAACAGCTGACGTAAGAGAATATTCACTTGTCGTGTTTTGTGTTGTTGTGTAAATCTAAGATCGCTTATCACTTATTTGAAAACTGAAAATAACATTTATGGTATTTCACCGGCGGTTCCTAACCCCTTGGCGATTCAGGCGAGATCGTTATCGTGATCACACATGCAGTTATTAAAAGCTAGTTTGACGTTTGCAGTAAATACTTTATCTAGATATAGCGTGATACGATGAGAGATGATTGTTTGAAGAAGTGACTATTAATAGGAATAAAAATGCTATGCCGCTTTATAGTGTTAGTGCTAATTAGAGAGTTAGCAGGTTGCGATGTGCGCGCAACCACACTGGTTTTAAACAGGATAAACAAAATTACTATATAGCGGACATTGTTTTGAAGGTGTTAAAATTATTAGCTTAAGAGAAAGTTCATCATACACGCGCGGATTTACAGTAATGTGCAATATTAGCATTGTACACTTTTTTACGTTAGAGAAAGGCTGCTTCTGATGAATAATCCGCTGTGCTCAAATCCTACAAAGCGGAGTTGATTGTAATCTTTCGTCACTATTTTGACCAACAAGCTTATTTACTTATTGGAGTGTTGCTGCGGTTTAAAGAATGAAGGAAGAAAGCAAACATCTGAAAGAGCGCTTCTGTTGCTGAAATCGTAAACCATGAAGAATTCTCCTCAGTTCTTTTTTTCCTTTCGTAACAGATCCTGTTGACAAAAATATCTTCCTCGCTTTATCCTTCTCTAGGACAATCTCTACTGTCAAACACTTTCAACTCCTTTCACTGACTTTTTTCTCAGCCATCTTGTTTGTTATGTCGTCCTGTTGGTTTTCCTCATTGCTGACACTTCCCCTGGCGTTTTGTCTATTGAACCAATTATCATGTTAAACAGAAAACTACTTTTTCTTCCTCTTTAGCGACACTGACCGGTCACGTCTGTTTTTTAAACTGAGCGTGTAAAGGCATTCCTGTAATTCACTGGCAAGTGTTTCTTTTTTCAAAGTTGTTAAACCATGCTCAGCTTAGAGCGCGTGCTGAACTGACAACTAGAAGCAGATTGCTCCTGATTAAAACTCATTGTTTCGCGGCAAACGTAGAGGTCCTCCCGTAATTGGTAAGGGAGTTATCATTGGAGGGGAGAACAAAGAGAACAGCAGGTTTTTATGTAAAAATTTACCGTGGAAAAAAAATTACGTCCCTTCAATGCGATCGCAAGCATTAAGTATTAACATCGGGCTCTGTATTGATACCTATAGGATGCGAAATTCGACGGGATGACGGCCACCAATGTACCATGTCCGAAACAATTACGTTTCTGTCCTCTAGAGGAAAGGAAACTAGACGCGAAGAAGTTCCAGAGGGCTGCCCAAGAGCTGAGGTACGTGCAAGCGCGCAGATCTTACTAAGGATCGTAAATATCTTAAGTATCTCCGAACACCTAATCGCAAAATAAACCACCTCCTAAGTGTTCGAACTTTGCATGGCAACACTTAATCGCTGGGAATTATTCAACATCCAAAGAACCCCATTTCCGTTCGTAGAGGATTAATTTTAAGCAGAAGTCGGGGGTTGTTGTCGTTGCGCTTGTTATACTGTGCTGTTGAGTTTCGGCGATTCATTGTTGCCATTGACAATGCTTTGTATTTTCCTCTGTACATAGTTTAAGACTTTTCGGAAACGAGAAAATGTTTGAAAAACTGTAACATTTCTTTTAAAAGGAAAGTATCACACGGTCAAGTTTTGTTTTGGCCAGTTGCAATTAACTTATGTCGTTGCTCGTGTGCCGGACTTCGCTAAGTCGATGAAACACTGTTCAACTTTAATTATTTCACACAAAGTTTAAAAGTCACCTAAGCGCTCCAAAAAAGAAAAACGTCGACAAAGTTAGTTTTTTAGGGTTTATTGTCGCGAGTAATAACCTTGGAGTCTGTGCTGATGTAAATTATGAAAATGCGGCGCAGAAAATTTGACTTTTTTGGGTAACGTTTTGCATATTCATGCTGTAATTTTGCACCTTTCGATAAGTGTACTGTTGTTGCCACCTGTTTTTGTTAGCTGTAATTGACTTCGTCTGTTCACTGACCTTCAAACCCTGTATTCTCGCAGCCACTTTTAATCAGCAAAAGTAAACTGGCTGCTTTTTACAGACTGGCCAGGGTTTTTGCTTTGCTAGATTTATTAATATTTTTAAGTGAAATGTTTGGTAATGATGACGAGTCAGCGCTTGTTTTGAGTTCTCTTAGCGGTGGGTAGTTCGCTGTGTTGTATTGGTGTATTGGAGGCGAATAATTTGTTGAGTAATAAGATGAAAGCAGAAAGCAAGTCATGAATTAATATCACTATGAAGAATAACCAAAAGATGAAATTTAAGCCGTGGAATTTTTAAACAACGCTGTCTTCCGCTTTGTTAGAATAGACTAACAATCGTAAAGCTGATTTTCTAAAGTTTAAGATGATTGTGTAGTATCTGTAGGGCTGTGTTAGTGTGCATTGTTTCCATTGAAGTGATTAACAGTTACCACCGTGATGTCCAAAATAGTCCGAGCAGTCTCATTTTTTCCCTTTTTTTTTCCGATTTTTTTCTGTTTCAAGGAAGACACAGACACAAAAAATCAACTTCTCGACTTTTCATGGAACGACTTTAACACGTGAAAATGCCGTTTTAAATCAGCTATTAAAACCTCGGCAGATTTTGCAATCACTTTCCATGTCAACCCCGATCATCGAAGGTTTCGGTACAATTGAATATTTTCCTCACATTGCCTAACACATTGGCATTAGACTCAAACCAAGGACAAGCCGCAAGTATGTGGTGTTTGGCGAGGCAAAATTTACAGCAGCCACTTCGTGCGGGGAAAACCGGCGTTGTTATGATCCATCCAATCAAGTGCCTTATGTCTGAAGTGACGTGCAAGCCAGTGTATCCCAGCATGCTCAAGGCACGGGCAAGCGGCAGACCAGGTGGTGGATTATTTCTAATGAAGCCGTGTTTACCAGAACCATCGTCATGGCGAATTGTTGTTTTTCCACCAGTTTTTGGGTTTCCTGAAGGCGCTAAGCGAACAGAATGCGAGCAGACACTCGCTGCTAGTCTACTGATTGTTAACGTGTAACTTTGGCGACTTTTACCGGCGGGTGCTCAGCGACTTTGTGCTGTCCTTGCGTCGTTTGTAAAGTGGAGTTCAAATGTTATGCCAGTGCCATAGAGCGGCAGGTGGACTGAGAACCAGAAATTCACTTGCAGTAGCATCTCGAGAAACATGATAGCTGCTTCGGCTGCCGTTAGGGCTCACCATACTCGAGAAGCCGAAAAGCACTCTCGAGAAGAAGCGCTTAGACGCTCGCAATTGATTCTTCAAGACGGAGATGGCGAAGCTTTACAAGCCGCCCAAGAACCCTATACACCACTCGCCGAACATTACTTACTAGTACCGTTTAAGGATTGCGACTACGAACCACAAGATGGGCAAGTAAGTAGCGATGAAACTCACTTGTCTTGGCAATCTAGACCTTGTGCCTCAAGCGCTTGATTATAAAATCAATCTGGCTCGCAAATATTGTAAACTTGTGCCGGGGCGGTTAGATTTTGAGCCATCTTGCTGCTAGCGTTCATAGTTATTCGCCACCACTAGGAGCTGTCGGCTAGCACGATCCCTGCCTTACTTTTGGGAGGTTTTGACGTTTATTCCGGACCAAGAATTGGGACGGATCTCACGCGAATTTTCAGTCGATGAGTCATGTTTTTATCTGTGAAAATCGGCAAGGAAACTTTATACATACACCTTAAGCATGTGTAAATATTTAAATATTATGCGAGCCGAGTTGCTGTGGAGTATGTATTTTCCTCACAATTCGCCGATCGATCCTCTTCTTGCCGAAAACAACAGTGGCGAATTAATTCCGGATCTTTTAGACTCGGCGGAAACGTGCAGATCGGCGACAAAAATCAATCTTCTTTACTGGAATTTGATAGTAAAAATATACGAATTAATTATGACTTCCTCGTCGCGATTCACCACCGAAAAACCGAAGGTCGCTTGCGAATAATGAAGACGTTTCTCTTATTAAGTTGTATCGAGACCGAGACAAATCTTCGCTTTTAAATTCGTGACGTTAAAAATCAGCCACTACTTTTAGGTCGCTCTTTTATTCTTATTATAATTGAGTAACTGAATATCGTCGATTCAGGAATCGCTTTCGCTTAGACAACTAATGTTGAGTCCTTTTACAAAAATGAATTATGTCCGATAGCGATTAATTCGTTTTCCAATTTAAACACTGCTGTGAGAGTGAACGAGAGTGTCAAGTAAATTTCGACGGTAAATTTTATTTTGTAGTGATTATGTTCAAGCTAGAGCGTATTCTACGCTGAGAGAATCATGTCTGTTGTAAATAAATCTCTTCTGATTGTGTTCCGTTGCTTTTTTGCATGCAAACAACATCGAAAATTACAAGTTTTCTTTTCTTGAAATGTCATACAGCAATAGAAAAGTCAAACACGGCTTCTTTGTTGTCGAATCTCGATAGCTGCTTCTTAGTTTTCATTTTGGGAGCTTTCCCTTGCATCAAGTTAGGCATAATTCGCGCGTTGGAAGAATATTGTGAATTTACTATAAACAGTGTGTACAGTAATCGAAAATTGCCAGACGAAAAGATGATAGAAACTGTACTTTTGCCATTGACAAAATCCAAATCGCTTTGTCCTTCACTAGTGTTATTTTTTAATCAAAAGTCATTGGTGTTTTTGTTAGTCCAGGAAACGGCATCCTTGCGTTTTGACTTTAATTTTCAAAATTGCGAATAATAATTTTTTTGTTAAAATTTCGCACACTTGGGAAAATTATAGTTGAATATGCGTAGAATTTGTTGGCTACGCTGTAAATACTTTTAGGCGAGATTCTGAACCGCAGTTTCGATGAATATTAATAGTTTTTTTATCAAGAAAATGACAGTTCTTTTAATCTATCGCAAACTAAGCTTCTTGTCTTGATTTTAACGAGTAGTTGAACAAAAACACGACATTGTGTCTATTTAAACGAAAAACATTAACGCACTTTTTACTCCTAACTTGTGAGAAAATTGAAAGTGGCGATTTTAGCAGAGATTTTAACGTTCGTTTTCAACTTGATTTCGGCATGTTACATCCAGCAACCTGCTCAGCTATAAATAAAACAAGAATTTACGGAAGACCGCAAAATTGGGAGGGGTTGGAAAACGACTCGATAATGCATGTGACTAGGCACTGAAATTGTTTGTACAGGAGAACAGCCGAAAATTTGCAACATGTAAACTGTGACATCTCCTCACCCCGCTAAAGTGGCCTGACATACATTCCTTTAAACAGGGCTCAATTTTTTTGGTAAATAAACCTGTCACGGACTCGATAATTATACAGGTACCAGTTGACTTTAATCGATTTTGGATTTCTCGAGAAGAGGTTGCCTGTGTTGGCAAATCGCAAATATTTCTGTTGTAAAGATGCTCTATTTAAATTCGGGGCGGTGAGGAGATAGGTCCTCCACAGCTCTCGATGCCACAGTAAATGAAATATTAATAGTGTAAATTTTGCCCTTCAAAGAATTGATTTACATACTTTTAATAATTCATCAAAAGCTTTTGTTTGGGCCCTTTTCCCCATTTGTTAAGTTGATAAAATATTTAAATTTCGTTGCCTCGGCGAGTGACAGCCTAATGCTTTGTTTACCTAACTGAAAATTGAAGATGTCTTGAGGATTTTCAAACCTTCACTCGTTTAATGAGAACTATGGAAACATTAAACGCCAATTCGTTGGTTTTTCGTTGTTTTGTGAAATTTGATCGAGTATCGCTTTTTTATTGCACGGTTTTGGAGGCCTTGTCTGTCCAATTAGCACGAACTGATTGAACCACATCGGCCGAAAGCCTCGTCAGTTTAACGCTGAAGTGCGTGAACATTAAAACAGATCGCCGATAATTCAATTTCGCCGAAGCGATCGGGCAATAAGTTTTGCTTTGGTTTCGAGATTTAGTTTGCAGGGACATTGTTCGCTTGTGTACAGTTCCTTTGACACTAACAGTGGGATTCTAGACGCGACTTCAAAACCTTGCGTTTGACTCACGTTGCCTTAACTTTTGTTGAAATCTTAAGTCGATTTGAAGCTTGTTATTTGTATCCACAGGAGTTTCAAAACATCATATTGCGACGGGGTAGACAGTTGTGATTTTCGCCCAAAAGTCATTTTTGAGGCTACACAATGTGGTTAGCATTGTTGGAAAAGAGAAGCGCGCCTTTGCCAGAACCTCCCTTATTACAAGCTCGCATCAGGCGCGTTTCAATGTCGTTAACAGGAATATTCTTCAAACAGCGGGCATCTGCAACTGTTTGCGTTGGGTTGTTACCCGTACTAGAAAAAGCTTTGTCCGCGACTTTGACCAAAACAAAGATGTCTATGACAAAAGAGTCTCTTTCACTGTACGCGACCCCCTGTCGGTTGCAAATCTAGAGGCTGAATAAGAAATCGGGTAATATTTAGCGCCCCTGCTGCGTACAGAACGACAATACTGTGTAGGACAGATGTTCCTATACTCACGCTAGGCTCTTAATCTTCTCAAACTGAGGGAGATGTTATATGACTAACTCCATGTAGAATTCAATACAGCTAAGAATAGCCTTGTTATGTTACCTAGGGGAATAAACACGTTCTCGTCGTAAAGGGACTGCTAAGAAATCTTTTTCGAAACTCTTCCGTCTCACACAGGCATCTCCAGAACCTTTGCTCGCCGAAATGCGCGCGGTTTTTCCGCAATTTATTTTGACGAGACATAGACCTAATCAGTAAGATGAAATTAAATGAAGCATAGGTCCTCTGCGGGAAAGAAAAAATATTTTAAAGTGTTTGTGTGAAGTTGATCAACATAGTTTCGTTGACGATTTTGTCACTGCACGACACGAGATGGTTGAGAAAATGTAATTTTTAATAATTCGCATTTTTCGACTGTTGGTGTGCAAAACATCGAAAACGACGAAAGATTGAAATTACCATATTGCTATAAGATATTCAAATTTAGTTACACTACGAAACTGTGGCCTAATCTCTTATTAGTTGTACAAAATTATTTAGCCTTTTGTTCAACTATTCTCGTATTTATTAGAAATTAAAAGTAGCGCTTGCGCTATTTGTCAAGAATTTATCAATTACCTTCTTGATTTTCGCCGAGGAGACACGAACCCGCCGCTTAATAAGTAAATTCACTTTTTAATTTAATAGAGAATATCTACGCTGTTGTCAGGATATTTCCCACATAATTCTGCGCCTAATTTGGAGATGAGATTCTTATCGACCAATCCCAGGTACTCTGAATGGCTTGAGTGGCGCTCTGCAATGAAATTACATTCCCCTTCGTAAACAGAATGTGATGCACTAGCCTTTATTTATTCCCGCTCGATCAGATCCGATTCTATTTCCGATTAATGGCAAGATAGCTTCCGAATTTGTCATGAACTTGCAAATTGACATCGAATGTTGTTGAATACGGAAGCACTTTCTCGCCAGCTTACAAGCATTTCAGGTTGATTAAATTTTCGTGCTTCTGTTTGTACGCCATGACAGTATATTTGTGTTCATTACGGCAAAGAAAAGCGTACTTTTCCTTTAAGCAATTTACAGGCTTTTGAGAAGGATTAAAATAAAGACTTATCGTCTAACAAAGCAATAACCGTGATGTATTTATTCTTTTGTTGAATAAGTCCTTTCCGATATTCGCTTGTGCCCATGTTGCGCCCATGGCAGTGATATCAACTCATTTGGTTGTCTTCCACCAAATTTGTTCGTCTAGACTATTTTCATTCAGTGTAAAAATATCGCCTTGAAAACCTATCCTTACCAGGACTTGCGTGTTCCAAAATAAGATTGATTTTGCCGGATATATATTCAAACTTTTGACCGCATTGAAAACGGAAGGTAGATTTTATTACTTCCCTGAAGGCGTAAATTATTGTGTTTTCGGCGAGATAAATTGTCATTACCTCGTAAAACTGTTTCTGATTCGGTGAATATGTATTATTTTTATCGAGCTAAATATAAATATCGCTTGTGTAGGTAATTGATTTTATTTATGTGATGTTTTTTCTTGTTTCTGTTTTCAGACTTTTCTCATCGTTGCGAACAAGTTTGGTAAACAGTATGTGTACCGCTTCCACGCCTCCGATTCCCTTTATCTCTTCAGTCCTAGGAACAGGATTCGAAGATTTGTACTTTTTCTAATAACACATCAATATCCTTTATTACAGACTAGTTTATAGACAGTTATTACATTAATTACGTTATACGCAGAAAAAACTGCTGGTGTTTAGCGCGTTTGGGTCCGTCCTGCTCTATTTTAGTTGTTTGTTTGTTTGTTTTTTTGTTTTTGTGCGTTTGTCGTGTTCATGTGACTAAATTTCTCATACACCTGTTTTTCTTTTTGTTGTTTTGTTTTTTGCAAACCCGTCTTGTTTTGTGTATTACAGTGTCAACCTCAAATACTTGAAAGATCAGTACCACATGTACAGACAATCTTGTTCTGAAAAAAGAAACTGTCCACTGAAAAAAAAAAACTCGCGTGACCTTCCGTTTATAAGACGGCGTGACAAGAGAGTGACCAAAACCTTTACCATGGCGCAACATTTGCCAGGTTGGTTGGTTGTAAAATGTGGGGAAATGGGTCAAACTTAATACACCTAAGGTCACTCTAGTTTGAACGTTTTTTGTGTATTTTTGTGAGTTATTTGCTGGTCACCTTGTGCTGTTTGATTCCTTGACCATAGCGCACATATTTTGAACTTATTATTCTACTGACAATTTTAACAAACTGTGTATTCCTGGCTATGAGCAATCCACCAGAAGAGGCAGAGTGAGTATTTTTTCCTTTCCCTCTCTCTACCCCCTCCCCCCCTCCCCCCCTCCCTCCCTCCCACGCCGGTGAGCGCTAATCTCAATTGTTTATTCATTTAAAAGCACGGGAAGGTAAACTTTAGGGTATAAAAGAAGTATANGGGGGGGGGGGGGGGGGGGGAGGGTCTCTTTCCTCAGTCCCCTAGAATCCGACCCGCGAACGCTGTAAGAAACGTGTAGAGCAAATAAAAGGTTTAGATGCTCTGCAAACAACCCCTAATTTTGTATATTCAATTAGAAAAAAAGACTAAAAAACCACTTTTCTTTTGAGATTATATCTGTTTTTCCACGACTTCGTCATAAGTTTTGGTAGAGCAAATACACAGGCAGGGTCGCTTTTAAAAATAAAGAGAAGAGAAGTATATGGCAGTTCGTTTGTTTTGGCAGGGGATTTATTGAACGAGGAGTAAATAACATGATTATGTCTTCGGTTGATGTAATGATGACTCGCTTGGCTGGGCAGTGGAGCAAGCGAGTCAGCTTGTCTGGCAGATTGTTAATAGTGGCCCTATTTTATGTGTGTAAGCTGTTTTGGCTTCACTCTTATCGCTCTGAATGTCAGTCTATTGGTTGACGAGTTCCGTGATTTTATCTAGAGTTCCTTACTGGCAGTGGACACTGACGTAGCAAGACAAATATAGTGGTTTTTCGTAGAATCCAGCTTTTGTTTTGTGAAGCGAATAACTTGTAAAAGAGACAACCAGGCGCCGGCCAGAATTAATTGTGGATCAACTTGTAAAGAATCTTCTTCAGTTACAAATAAAACTTTAGACCTCTCTCGACGTTACCGCTGAACAAATGATAAATTTTGAGCCTGTATGGCATGTTCAAATATTTAAGTTATGAAGCAGACGAGTTCTCCTTGCGTTCTCATTTTATCTGCCAGTAAACCAGAGTTATTTAATTATCTTTTCGTGGTCATTAGCAATAAGTGCAGCACTTGAAATAAATTCGGCAACTTTTGATGGTCAAATCGATATTGTTCTCGTGCTATGAACACCATGTGAAATTAATCGAAAAATCTGGATTTCTTAACAACTTACTTAAACTGTCAAGGTTATCTTGGTATTTTTGTCATTTTTTTTCTTTTGAATCGTAAGACTGAATTATCTCCCTGATGAGTTTTCGAATTTGACCGTTGTGTACCGCGATCCAGATGTAAAGTGAAATTTTGGCCATGCCACTCACCAATCAACCAATTCACCAATGTGGTTGTGGTACTGCATTGCCGACTTTTTTGTTTAATTTTGTTTCAATTTCCAGAGAAATATTTGTTTATGTGTGTACTGATTGTCGCTAACCGACAGTTTTAGCAGAATTGGCTTTGTTCGTGTCATAAATTGCTATGTTATCACGACTGACGCATAATGTTAATCTTTTTGAGATTACGTAGGCGGTTGTTTCCATGGACACGACGTTGTGTTTGTCTTTTTTAACACCAATTTGATAGACGTCTAGTCAAAACGAATTGATTGTATTGAACTTATTAACTGCAAAAAGTCATGAACATCTAATTTTTCCTCAAAATATGAATGCATTCTCTAGCTGACAGGTGGTCCAGTCTTTACTGCGGATATTGTCTTGGTGTAACCCCCAATTCTCAGAACTAAAAACTAAAGAAATATGTGACGATCAGTAATGAGAATTACTAGTTGGATCTCGAAACTGGAACGGTCGTTGCTCGCCACTTGTAACCTGTGATGTTAATCGTTTAATGCCTTGCTGGAAATGATGGTACATCTTGAAATATTAAGGGCTTCAATTGTCCGAGAACATGAGTTGCTTTGTTCTTAAACCGAGGCATTCTTCCCCATCTTTGTTCTTTAGTCATCTTTGGTCATTTATAGTTATCATTCTTTCTGCAGTAGTGAAGGCTATCATCGGGTTTTAAAGACATTTTAGTCAACTTTGGTGACTTTTGTGTCAATAGATCGTTTATTAACTCTTACATAATCTTGTAATACTCGGATTTCGTTCGATGTGGATCATTATCGCACCCATTTCCGATAACTCCTACAAAGCATCATTATTTCATTTCCATCTAACCGTTAAAGGTTATCCTGACCAGACTGATATATCTTCCTGGGTCTATAAGTTGTCCGTCTAAAGTCGGAAGAGTTAAATATAATCAAACTCAGAATCTTCTCTATCTTGTCTCTTTACACCAACTGATATTGATTTTCCCTTTCTAAGATTCACCTCATCCACTTATTAAATTATTAACTCAAGAGTCTATACGTGACTAATACCGTGCATTGTATCTATTCTATCCCACAGATTTGTGTTCGCAGCCATTTATACACTTGAAATGTTCCTCAAGATCATAGGTCGTGGATTTGCGCTCCACAAATATGCTTATCTTAGAAATGCTTGGAATTGGTTAGACTTTTTAGTAGTAGTTTTAGGGTGAGTTAAGTGCGGTTATCTGCTACTGTTATTGCACGATTTCGCAATGTACTGGCCGGATTACAAACCGTCGTTGAGCTGTGTCATCAAAACAGAGCTTAATGGTATTAGTGTGGGATTGATAATTACATCACCAATAAATTTTGATTTGGTATCTTCAAAATCTTTCGTTAGTAGGTGAGTTAAAATTATCTTAATTGACCACTCCTTGTCTTGAAGGTCCTGCTGTCAAAGCATTCTATTTTTGGAATTTTAACCTTTGGTTTATTTCGGTCGTAATAGTATTAAAAGCAAAGCAATTTTGAGTTTTGTGTATTATTTATGGGGTTAAGATTTACGTGCAAAGCTGCCTCAGCTACGAAAAAGGAATCAGATTGCCGTGATGTTAGTACATGAGAAGATTCCAACGTCACGGATACTTATGATCGCTTGGTGACTTAAATGTCTGTTATACTGCCTTGACAAGGACGGCGTGGGGTACTCTCGCTTGATTTCTCCAAACTGCCCATCCCAATTATTTAACTTTACATATGGTGGAAGGAGTCTCTTATTTCAGGCGGTTGCTGGTGTATTTAGTCAATCAAAATTAAGAAGTGGTGGAAAATGTGTGATAAATCAATGAAAGGAAAATGTTTAATTTCCCGTCTCCAATAGCACGCGAAGGTGATGGAAGCATAGCTAAATGTCACTTTCCTTTTCTTGCAGTTATATAACAATGCTTCCTGGCGTAGAAAATTTATCGGGAATTCGAACTTTCAGAGTTCTTAGAGCTTTGAGGACCATATCAGCAGTTAAAGGTAAACAGATTTAGCGCACCACCTGTTTCAGTTGGGGTGCTTTCCATTCGACCAAAACTGCCGGTTTGCATTTCTGGAAATTTCCATTAGGATAACCTGGCAAGATAAATCCAAATGTCCTAAAATGTCTTACCGGTTCTTAATTTCGTTCCAATTTATTTTCCTCTCAGAGTCTCCGAAATTTTTGTTTGAATGGTTCGCATTTTGGAAATGTGAAAATTATCTGATTTTTTGGAGGTTTTCCAAGGATATTTTGGTTTCATTTGCTCCCGTTTCGAAAGTTCCGGACTTTTTGTTTGAATGGAAAGCGCCCTTAATAGCTTTTGAGCCCTTGATAAAATTGACTTGGTTAGTATGTTTTTGTACTGAGATTAAAATCAGTATTTCTTTTTGGTATTGCAGGTTTAAAAGCCATGGTTAATACGCTGTTGAAATCTATCAGAATGCTCTCTGATGTTCTTATACTTACAACTTTCTTTTTATGTGTATTTGCACTTATTGGCCTTCAACTTTTCGTTGGCGTAATGCAGCATAAATGTGTTCGTAATCATCCCAATGGATGGCCACAAGATCAAGAAGCTTTCAGTGCGTACTTGCAGAATGAAAGTAAGTAAACGATTATCTCTTAAATCGTATCCTTAATCCTTAACCAATCTCCATCGTGATTGGTTCTCTCCGCGCCTATTTTTCGTGCTCGTAATTTTAATTCGGTCTTGCGCTGCGCGCTCGTCCCATTTTTAAATTACTCGCAGGATTATTCCCCGAATTTTATGTACTCTACTCAGTCTAATTACTCTTACGAATTACTCGTTGCCTGAGTCGGTAAACAGACGTATCTTTCGAGAGATAAGATTTGACCTGAAAAATTCCATACTGATAACGTCACTATAAGTTCTGTGTATTGTTCTGATTGGTTGTTGCTCGGTTTTGAATTTTGACGCGCGAGAAACAACCAATCAGAGATACGAATCTGAACATCCTCCTCATTAGTATGGAAGTTTTTGGGTCCAGTCTCTGACATCTCTCGAGCGGGCAAAGAATTGGGCCCGCGAATAAAGATTTTCCTTTACTCAGACTGAGTAGTTAAGAAATTTATACTGATATTTCTGGTTTTCCCACCTTGAGGTGTCGAAAGCGCATCTCGCTCGCTGTATGTTCAGTATGATTATTGACAATATGACAATGCGTGTGTTTATTATTCAGGTAATCACTATATTTTCGCGGGCGATAACATGGCTGTTTTGTGTGGAAACTCTTCCGTCGCCTTGTAAGTTTCGATCCATGTGTTGATTAAACTTCTTGCTAAGTCGGCCAGTTCATGTTTTCACGATTTTCCAGCTCCTAACGTTCTTCCTGTGTGTTTTTTTAAAGTGAATGTCCCATTAACTACACGTGTATGCCGAATACGGGACCAAATCCTATATCTGAGTACATTAGCTACGATAACTTTGGTTGGTCGCTTTTAACCTCTCTACAACTAGTCACAATGGATTACTGGGAAAGCATTTACAACAGCGTGAGTAGAGTTTTAACAACAACAACAATAACTTTATTTAGTCGAACATTTACAGTTTTTTTTTATATCAGTGAAATGTAAAGACAAAGAAAAATGTGTACTATATGAGTCTGGAGACTGAAGTAACCAAGGGTTTTCTAGTCAGCCTCCAGTTATTATATTTCTATGGAGATTTAAGAGAAAAAAAGCTATTAAGAGAATGAGATATGTACATAAAATTGGAAAAAAGGAGCATATAGGAATATTACTTGTTTTCAGAAAGTTGTTCAGACAGTAAATAAAGTTTCAGATGTTTCGAGAAGTTGAAGGTATTGAGATCTTAAAGATGAGTAGGGATATTGTCCCAGATAATAGTCGCTGTATAAGCAATTGTTTGTTTACCAGAATTGGTACGCACTTTAGATATGTATAGATTTAGTGAACTGTGTGACGAGCGATACGTATCTGAATATGAGGCCATGCCATCAACTAAGTTCTAAGGCTGTCTTGCTTTCTCGAAGTGACATTCATTTGTTCACTTTCCGGCCAAGTTTTCTCAGTTGATGTGGATTCTTTCCATGCAGGTGATTGCTACCAAAGGACCGTGGTACGTATTTTATTTCCTGTTTGTGATCTTCCTGGGTCCTTTCTACTTGATCAATCTTGTCTTGGCTGTCGTGTCGCTTTCGTACGAACAAGAAACTGCAGCATTGCAGGATCAAGTTCTTCGGGTGAGTGAGATTCTTCGCTCCATGGACATTTTGTTTATATCACTGAAAGCTCCAGATTTGAGTACAGAAAATCTTTATCTAAAGAAATCAATGCCGTACGCGAATGTAGGCCGTAGCAAATGCGTGTTTAGAGGTTCTAACTTTAAGTTGGGTTTTGAAACTCTGGGGTGTATTCATTAAAACCAACGCTTTTCAACAGTATTTTCACGTAGTACTGTTTACTATGCTGTGCAAGTTTATTCTTACTGTTAATTTTGTGGATGAAACCTTAGTTTTAGGTAGCGTTACTAACAGCACTTCCACTACCACTTGAAAGTGCTGCTCAATATCTTCCAGTCAAATCGTCTCACAGTAGGGTTTCATCTGCAGACTTAAAAGTTAGAACCACCTTGTACAGCATAATAAACAGTTCCACATGAAAGTACTGCTCCATAGCTTTCATTTGAATGGTCACACAGTAGGGTTTCATCCACAGACTTAAAAGTTAGAACCACCTTGTACAGCATAATAAACAGTTCCACATGAAAGTACTGCTCAATAGCTTTCATTTAAATCGTCACACAGTAGAGTTTCATCCACAGACTCAAAAGTTAGAACCACCTTGTACAGCATAATAAACAGTACCACATGAAAGTACTGCTCAATAGCTTTCATTTGAATGGTCTCACAGTAGGGTTTCATCCACAGACTCAAAAGTTAGAACCACCTTGTACAGCATAATTAAGAGTCCACATGAAAGTACTGCTCAATAGCTTTCATTTAAATCGTCACACACTAGGGTTTCATCTACCGACTTAAAAGTTAGAATCACCTTGTACAGCATAATTAAGAGTCCACATGAAAGTACTGCTCACACCGCATCAGGGTTTCATTTACAGACGTACACACTCTCAAGTCTGTGGTGATACCTTAGTTTGTGGCCATTATTTTGGAAGTAATTCAGCAGTACTTTCATGTTGTACTGTTAGTTTTGCAATTATTAACTCAGCCATATTTGCGAGTGAAGGTTTGAATGAGGTTCAACGAGTTTTCAGATGGGATTAGATACACCACCACGAACCAAATGGTCGGAAAGTCTTACGTATCAAACATCATTACTGATAACAGATAATCGACTACATTTCTAACTGTCGACAGATTCTGACCTTTGACGAAGTCTCATCAAATATCATGCCTCTGACTTGCTGGCTGATCTCGTGCACTCTTGTCTTTGTTCCTTTAGGCGCAAACGTTTGCCAAACTCAAACGATCCGCCTCCACTTATTCGTTTGACGGACAAATGGACCCAGAACCATTGTACCAAGAAGATACACAACGAATTGAGGAGCGCGAGGCTTACATAGCAGCTCACCCGGAAGAATCTGAACATCCCGTAGAACCCGAGGAACCAACGGAGGTGACTGTCGAGGTCCCAGGAAACCCGAGTTGCTGGAGGCGTACACGAAACTTCGTGTCAAGAGTCGTGAATTCCTCGGTGTTTGAGACCCTCATTACTTTGTGTATCCTGTTCAATACGTTGGCAATGGCCCTGGAGCACTTTGAAATGGACGGGACTTTTTCTAAGGTGCTCGAGTACTGTAATCTGGTAAGTGATATTTATCAAACTCCTGCAATTAACCATAAACGCGAACAATAATAATAAAAGTGTATTATCGTTTGTCTCACGATGTAGTCACTTGAGATGTAGATCGCGACGTTTCGACTGCTTACTGCTAGTCTTCTTCANCGCGATCTACATCTCAAGTGACTACATTGTGAGACAAACGATAATACACTTTATTATTGCATCTACCACGATGAATAACAACAACCTTTTCCTCGACAGCGAACAATAATGTTTAACGAATTGTGTTAGTTTGTCTTAGAAACGCTAAGGCACAATCAACGCTTTTCCTGTACCATCTACTTTTATAAATAGAGGATGTAGTTATTGTTGTTGTTGTCACATCTTTAGCGATGAGCAAAATCACCCTGAAATCGAATTTGAAAAATTAAAAAAGAAATGGTTTACACAGGTAGAAAAACACTTACGAGAATACAATAAGACAAAAGGGAACCGGTGATCATAAATTGGAAAAGATCAAGGTAGAATAAGAAAGTCGACCTTGAAATTAAGATTTGGCAATAGTAGCTGCTGTAAAAAGGTAGCAAGGTGCTTGTCTGGTTACATTTCTTGAGTGTTGTTGTATTTATTGAGTTGCCTACTCTTTGTCTCGATGTGTTTCTTAGGTATTTACCGTGGTATTCATTATGGAAATGATTCTGAAGCTGATCGCATTTGGCGTCAAAGAGTACTGCAAAAACAAGTGGAACCTGTTTGACGGGACAATTGTAATTCTTAGTGTTTTAGACATGGTTCTGACCTACTCTGGTGCCATCAGTGGTGCTGGATTAAGCGTGTTGCGAACCTTCAGACTGGTATGTTGATGATAACATTTATTATCTACTTGATCTTCTCGGGTGTTTATTGGCTGATATTTAGCTCGGACGTTTACATGCATGTGTTAGGTACCTGGTCTGTAAGTCCTCTTTGCATTGGTTTTGTTCGTTTTCCACCTGGAAATCAAAAAAGTCCAAATCGTTTCGAATGCACGTGAGAAATGTTGCTCTCTGACAGGCTGAGAACACATCCAAAACAGTAACTAGCTTGTAGTAACGACGTTTAAGCACATTATCCTTTTTACTGTACAGGAGATGCAACACGGTGTCTGAATAGGATCTTGAAGGACGAAGTTTTCGCGAATAACTAATACACAGAATGAGGAAAAACTAAAACTGTAGTTTGTTTTTCTGTTCCACAGCTTCGTGTGCTGAAGCTCGCTCAATCGTGGAAAACAATGGGTGACCTTTTGAACACAATCGGGAGCAGTGTAGGCCCTGTGGGTAACATCACTGTTATACTCGCTATCATTGTTTACATGTTTGCTGTGGTCGGCATGCAGCTTTTCCAAAGAGACTACACTGCGGACAAGTTTAAGAATTACGAACTACCACGGTGGAATTTCAATGATTTCGGTCACTCATTTATGGTGATTTTTAGGATATTATGCGGTAAATGGATCGAGCCTCTGTGGTGGACAATGCAGGCAACATCTCCCGCTGCCATCTGCCTCATCTTGCCCGCATTCGTCATCGGCAATTTTGTGATTCTCAATCTTTTCCTTGCACTGTTGTTGAACTCGTTCAGTGCAGACAGCGACGAGGAGCCGGAAGACGAAGAGGAAAAGAAAAGGAAAGAAGAAGAAAAGAAAAGGAAGAAAAAAGAAAAAGAGAGGAAGAGGCGGTTAGACATTCTTCGTATGCTTGGAAGACAAAACAAAAATCTTTCTGGGAGTCGAAGTAAAGTGGGACCAGATGAAGACGGCGATGGAACGGACGAGGAAGCTCATTCGAGGACGATAAGCCCAGTTGACGATGGAACCAAGAAAGAAGCGGCAATCACTTTGTCGGACAATCTCAAAAATGGAGAACAAGAGAACGGCTACGAGATGACACTTGTCAACCGACTGCCGAACGGTCAAACACAGCAGGATAATTCTAATGGCTTCAAGTACAACTTTGGTAAGTCATGCCCGCCTCTTTAACTTCAGCAAGTCCATTTTGAACAAATCTGCAGCACGTAGGCATACCCGAGGCAAATACTCTGTAGAATATCCGCTCAGGTTTCTATGTCTAGAGTCTTTATATTTGGGGAGCCCGCCTTCCATCAATGTGGCCCAGGTTCGATTCCGGCCTGGTGTCATATCTGAGTTGTTGGTTCCCGTACCTGCTCCAAGGGTTTTTATCCGGATACTCCAGGTTTCCTCCTCCTGAAAAACCAGTATTACAAATTGCAACTGATTCGACCTGGGAAGAGGACCCTCGTGAAAACCATCTACGGCTCTCTAAATATTGTAACTTATTTATTTTAATTCCTAGCGAGGGCTTTCCCGTATTGAGATCGGTAGTGAGTTAACAACTTTGACGAATTGATTTCCTTTTAACTCAGACGAAACTCCAGGTAAACCTGTAGGACGTAACACCAAAGTGAATTCTCTTCCCATTGAAAACCGCCATTCACTGACTACCGCCCTTGATCTGGACGAAGCAGCATTAAGAATCCGGGACCTTCCAGATTCAAACAAGAGATTGCCATGCGTCAACCGCGTCAAGAGTGACGACAGACTGGAGCCTAGTGACAACAACTTGAGTAACGGAGATCTGGTCGCCAATGGCTCAGCCCCTGTGGTGATCAACGGAAACTCGCGCATGTCAACCGGATCGTCACACAAAGACGTCAGTCTTGGTGACATAGAGTCACGCATTCCACCAAACAGCCCGGGTCATGAGTCAAAGCGTGACACGATTGTCACGGTAGATACCGACGATACTACTCCCCCGGGTGGAGTGAGGCCTTGTTGCCCAGCGTTCTGCTACTGTGAGAGTAATTGTTGTGACAATTATAAGGAGTCCTGTATTCGAAGAAGCTGGCATGGATTGCGTTACTATGTGTGTACTTTTGTGGAGCATAAATACTTCGAGTGGTTCATTCTATTCATGATTGTCATAAGCAGTTTAACTTTGGTAAGTTCTAACAGTTTGTTCACAATTGACCTGAGAGTTGTATGGATCAAAGTACATTTACCACAGCCGTTCTCGACATTGCTCTGAGTATTTCACTATTGTAACCCATGTATCATTTTAGATATTTCCAGACATTTTCTTTAATATGCACCATTGACTTCGAACCTATGAACCTATCGGTAGCAGCCAATGCCGGGCACAAGGCAAATCACATTTCCTATTCTACACATGATTGGCTGAGAAAGTAATTTATTATATAAACACCAATGAAATACTAGGCGAGCTTTCGCGCAAAAACGTGATATCTTCACACGCGAAAATAACATATTACAGTGTCTTCACACGCGAAAATAACATGTTACAGTGTCTTCACACATTAAAAGATCACCGTTGCTATGGTTACATTATAAATGGCTACTCGAAGGTTCGAAGTTTCTCTTCTCGTATTGAAAAATATTTCACGAGTGAGCGCTGCGAATGAGTTTAAATATTTTTCAACACGAGAAGAAAAAGCGGTCATGTGAAATCCTGTATATATTTGCTCTGACCAGCATAGGAAACGACATCTTGACAGCTTATTCTTTTAACATAGTAAAGTTATTGTCATTTTTTCTAATGTAAGGTGTGTCCACAAATAGCTGCACAAGTCAAATACCTCTGACACTTGCAAAGTTTATTCATTTTTTCATAGTAAGACAACACTCTCTGATTTGAGTGACTGAGATTACATGTGTGACTCGGGGCTGAAGTAACAGCATCTCCGTCTAGTTAGAGAGAGCACTCGCCCTCATTTGAATCGAATTCCTTATTACAGGTGTTTGAAGACATCCATTTGAAAAATAATCCTTTGCTGAAGAGTGCGCTAGGTGTGATGAACTTCTCATTTGCGATCATCTTTACAGTGGAAATGCTTCTTAAAATCCTCGGCATGGGTTTCGTGGGTTATTTTACCAACTTGTGGAACTGTTTGGACAGTTTCATTGTAGCGGTAAGTTGCTGCAGACTACACAGCATTCTTTATGGTGCCTATCCCATGCTTTTTCTCCATGTTTCCTGTCTGTTTTGATCGCCATCTGTTTCTCGTTGTCTGTCTTGGTGATCTGGGTCTTTCCTGTTTGTCCTTATTTTATGTCTTGGCAAGTATGCGGTTACAGCCGCACTTACAGCTTCTGAATAGTTTGTCGGGAGAGAGACGCCTGTATTTGCAGGCTTCGTCTCATTTTGTTGCCTGGTGTAAATTAAATTACTTAAAACATTGACTTCCACGGGCGCCCAGAATATGAAGGCCACGAAATCAAAGAGTCAAGTAGCAGGCAACTTCAAGGGCATAACTGAAATCACTAACCCATATATATTACCTGCGTTCTACTCTTTTACATTCTTTGTTTCATTGTCTTGCTTTGTAGATCTCTCTCGCAAGTCTTACTGGTAGCAAAAATCTGCAGTCGTTCAGATCTCTCAGAGCTTTAAGACCTCTCAGAGCGATCTCGCGGTTTGAGGGAATGAAGGTAGGTTAGCGCAAGTAAATGTCTATTCATTGTTTCATTTTCTCTTACTTGCGATCGCCTGAAATTGGAAAATTTGGGTTATTTGGTGTTGCTATTTTGGGGTATTTGCATTTTATAATATAAGATGACAGACGGAAATCACCATTCCTTGTGTAGCAGGAAGCGCTTACAGTTTTTTGTGCTGCCGTTGCAGATTGTCGTGAATTCGTTGGTGCACGCTGTTCCCGCGATCGTGAACGTGATGCTGGTGTGCCTGATCTTCTGGCTCATCTTCAGTATTGTTGGTTATCAGCTGTTTAACGGGAAATTCTACAGATGCGTTGATAACAAAACCTTGGAGATAATTGATTGGCAGATAGTCGAGAATAAGGATCAGTGTAACGAGTCCCTGGGCATGCGCTGGATGAATGCAAAAATCAACTTCGACAGCTCCTTGCAAGGATTCTTGGCTTTGTTTCAAGTTGTACGTATAAACTTCATAACCTTCAAAGCAGGCGTAAACGGATAGGAAAATTGGAAGAGAAGTGGCTTTCGCTTCCACTAGCCTTGCCTTGTTTACACCTGTAATGAATTAATGAAGTCTTTATTTCTCATTGAAAAACGTCAGACTCAGCCGAAGTGAGTCTTTACAATCAAAGGTGATGATGATGTGCAACCTTAAAGGCGCCCACGTGACTAACTTAATCTCAAGTTATCAGACCTGATCAACAGGGTGACAAACATCTATTTCCAGTGAGAATTAAGCAAATCAGCGAATGTTTAGGAGGATGGTTAAGATCATTTGAGAAAAAAATGTTAAAAAAAAAATACCCTCACCTACAACGCTGCCTTTTCGCTCAATCGAAATCATAAAGTTCATTAAGATATAAATGGAAAACTAGCCTAAAGTAACTGACACTAAAGTACACTACGTGTATTTTACACCTTCCTTAGGGAAGGGGATAGTCAGAGTAACTGATGTAAAAATGTAAACGTTGTTGTTTAAATATCTAACTAGGTCAAGTGTATAGTTTTGGAGAATTAAATGAACTAATAATCTAGCTGGAAAATGTCTTACTTATTCAATCAGCTAGCACCATAAGACCTGTAAGGCCTGCTTGCATCTGTAACGCAGCGGAACATTATGATTATAGTGACTGAGCTATATAAACAGTAGCCTCCATGTGGCGCGAAAATATTCCCGGATATTTTTCCGCATGCATTATCTGTTTCGAGTAGCGAACATTTGTCTGAGAGCAAAGCTCGGCGAAAACTTTGAGCTTTAAGGAACAGATCATGTCCAAAGACAAGTATCCGAGCATGTCCTAAAGTAAAATGAAGGCTATTTTATCCTTCAAATACTTTTCGCAACACGCCTGATCTATTGGGGAATACCACTCAGATGTTGCCCAGTTTTAGCCGGGGAATATCCAGGCACGTAACGCGTTTAGACCAATCGCGTGCCAGGGAAAATATTTGATGGATTATAGGTAAAGACATATTCAGCAATTTCGCGATAGAAAAACAATTACCTGGAAATTTTTGTTTTATTTCAGGCTACATTAGAAGGCGTTTTTGAAGTCATGCAAGATTCTGTGGATGGCGTAGGAGTAAGTATACTTTAATCACGTGTCCTTTCCGATGCTGCTGTCAACTCACGTTTCTTTTATGTTTCGTATTGATATCGTTGGATCGTATGATGGCATAACTGATTGTTTTATTTGTCTTAAGCATTACAAGCAGCCAAGGTACGAGAACAGTTTCTACGCCTACTTCTACTATGTTGTTTTCATCATTCTGGGTTCGTTCTTTATTTTAAATCTCTTCATTGGAGTCATCATCGAAAACTTCAATCGCCTAAAACAACAGGTAAGCTTTCAGTTAATGGCATTGTATCTTTAAATGCTCCTGTTTTATTTATAAGACTTTCAAACTTAAAATGAAACTGATTGACTGACTGACTGACTGGCTGGCTGGCTGGCTGGCTGGCTAGCTGACTGCTCGTTCGCTTGCTTGACCGACTGACTAACTAATTTTGTGCTTGCTTGATTGATTGATTGATTGATAAGTTGGTTGGTTGGCTGATTGATGATTGCTAAGGGATAGACTTAAGCTTGGTTTCCACTAACGACTCAAGTATCACGTGCGTTTCTCAGTGTTTGCCTGCGCTCATGCTTAACTCGTTTATCCTTCTTTCTTAGTATGAAGACAGCGGTGCACTTGGAATGTTTTTAACACCAGGCCAGAGAAGCTGGGTGAACACCCTCAAGAAAACTTATTACAGGAAACCGCGGAAGCAGTTCAAGAGACCTCAGGTCTGTTGTTAAACAACCCACGCACAATGGGTGGGAACCGATATGAAGTCACAATATTGTTGCTTTGTGATTGGTTTAAAAAAAACTCTCGCCTCCTATTCGACCAGTCAGATACAAACAGAAACGACCAATCGTGACCTAGTGACTTAATCTTTTTCCCGCGAACGAAAAAACGTATACTGACCTCGGGTTCCCATTGGTTCAGAGTGTTGTGTACAATGCTTGTGTTCTCCAATTGTACTTGTTTTAATTTAACAATACTCAGATGAAACCGGTCTATTGTCAGTTGTAGTACATGTATAGTTTTCGTGACACTTAGCTTGACTTTCCTTTTTCTTGTTTCAGAACAAGTTTCGTGCCTGGCTGTTTGACTTGATCCTACAAAAGAAGTTCGAAGTGTTCATCATGTCGGTGATTCTTATTAACATGGTTACCATGATGATGGAACACAACAATCAAACGGAGAACTTTACCGCTGCGCTCAATATCCTTTTAACCAATTAACACTGGCTTGAACATTCATCGGAGGCAGCGTGACCCAGTGGTTTAGGACGCTGGTGTCGTAATCCGGAGGTCCCGAGTTCAAGGCCTCCACCCTGCCACTTGCGGGATTCGTTTTTCGGTAGTCCCGAGTTCAAATCCTCGGTCACGCTTTGTAAATAGCCAACTGGTCAGCCTCCTGCCAGTTGGGATTTTTAACTAAGTTACGTTTATTTGAAATATTTGTTTCCTTTGTTTCAGTGGCATGCCTGTAAACTAGCTAAACTTAGTGCTGGTATAGCTAAGTGCAGGACCACTAATATATAGATTTAGGCCAGCCTGAAAGGGCTCTTTTTCAGATTGCCAGCGATTTCCATCAGACGTTGTGAAGAATGTGGTTAAGCTGTTAACTGAAGTGTTTTTTCCTTAACCAGAGCTCGATTTTTGTTTCGGGGCCATCACGGTATCTGAACTATATCTTCACTGGCATCTTCATTGTAGAGGCAATCATTCGTCTGATTGCCATGCGCTTGGACTACTTTAAACTCGGCTGGAATGTGTTTGACTTCATCATAGTGGTTTTCTCCATTGTCGGTGAGTTGATCGTCACAAGTGGCACGTGAATTTTCTATCATTAATTTATTTTTATTTGGAGTTATTCTAGCCTTGTGGGAAAAGAGGTCGCCACTTCAAGCATTCATCCCTGTTTTTTTGTGTTTGTTTTACCGTTTAAACAATTTGAACCCCACTTTAGGGATACTCGTTGATGACGAACCGTATTTTTTTCCCAGTTAAGTTAAAGTGCGTTAAGGCCTTCTTTAAAGGCTATAAACTGATAGCCGAAAGCTTATGTTGTTAATCTTTTCACCTAGAGAACGTTTTGAATGTCTTATCCTGGTTACAGCGCTATTTTTAAAACCAAACTGTTCACTCTTTCTCTGATATTAGCTGCCGATTAATGCTGACAGCCCTGTTAATGCGGCACTTTCTGCCTGTGGTCTTTTGATGACCGTTTTCAAACAGTTTTAAATAGGAGCCGTGAGAGTCGTAGTTTATTTCTTCTTTAAGAAAGTGGATGGGTGGAATATGGGGCGAGGATCATCATTTAGAATGTAGAATGTAGAGTGTTAAACGTGAAACGTTGCGTGTGGAGTGTGTCTTAAGTGTGAAATGTGGAGTGTGAAGCGTGAAGTGTGGAGTCAGTAAGTGTGGAGAGTTCGTGTTAAATGCGGAGTATGTGTCGTAGGGGTTTATTGTGGGTTATATCGCATCGGTCACCCTTGTGCGACGCTCCAGAGTTCAGACTTCAAGGTTGATTTACTCGCCTTTTTTTGTCCTGTTTCTGTCAGGTATTATTGTTGAAGATGTGCTACAGAAGGACATGATTCTCTCACCAGGCTTGCTGCGAGTTGTGAGGGTATTTCGACTTGGAAGACTGCTACGTTTCTTCGAAGGCGCAAAAGGCGTTCGCCGCCTGCTGTTTGCTCTTGTCAAATCACTGCCCGGCCTGGTCAACATCGCCATGTTGTTATGCCTGATTATATTCATTTACGCCATAATTGGAATGTCTTCGTTCGGATACGTCAAAAAGACCAACGGCATTACGGACGTGGTGAATTTTGAGACTTTCGGGAACTCTATGCTTTTGTTATTTCGCGTCGGGACGGCCGCGGGCTGGAATACAATTCTTGACCCGCTCATGGTATCACCGCCGGACTGTAACCCAGATTTAGACAATGGCGGACTAAATGGCAACTGCGGGAATCGTTTTCTCGCTGTCTTTTTCTTTGTTAGTTACATTCTTATTATTTTCTTGATTATCATCAACATGTACATAGCAGTTATCTTAGAGAATTTCAACGAGGCACAGCAACAGGAAGAGATCGGCGTGACCGATGACGATCTAGAAACTTTTATTCAAGTGTGGGAAGAATTTGATCCCAAAGCCACGCACTATATTTCTCTAAATCAACTCAGTGATTTCCTGGACGCCTTAGAGCCACCGCTACAGATTCCAAAACCAAATAGGCACCTCTTTGGCGAGTTGGAGGTGCCAATTAAGACGGACTATAAAATTTATTTGTTGGATGTTATGCAAGCTCTTGTCAGGCGTGCAATGGGAGGCGTAGAAGGACACGAGGAAGAAGAAATGGTGATGTTAGTGGAGCGCTTGGAAGAACGCTTCCAAAACATGCGAAAGAAAGAAGCGACAATCGGCTCGCTTCCCGAGCAGCATAAATTTGAAATAAAGGCAGCGGTGACGATTCAAAAGGCAATAAGGATTTTCTTGCTGAAGAGAAGGTTAAGAATTTGTAAAGGCGGAGCGTTTCACCCGTATGATGAGTTGACCTCGGAAAAGGACAAAGGTCACGGATGGAGAGAAAGACAAGTGGAAGATAACACCCGTGTGATCGGGATGTTATGGTTGAATCAGGCCAAGCGACACAACATTGAGCCAGCAGTGGAGGAAAACAACGACGAGGAAAATACCAAGGATAATGGAAACACCGAGAATGATATGCCCGCTACCTTGACTGTGGTGGACGAGAAAACTAAACCTTCGCCAAACACTCTGAGTGTGAATTGTTAGCGAGCAGGCGCCTGCAACACTTCACTGGTCACCGCCATCGTTTTGTATCACAGTAACTTCTAGGCTTGGTGACATGGAGCGTCACATTTAAAAATGCAAAGCGTTGAAACTCAAAATTAATGAGAACCAAACCGTTAAGCTCATTGGGTCGTTTGCTAAACTGTTTTCTGCGAAAAGGACATCGGGAGCAAGTTCGGCACAGTTGAATGTCGCGCAAATGCAGTACTAATGAATGCCAGATGATACCACTTGGAGCCCGCGAGACTTTAGGAAGATCGAGGACCTTACCCTTGAGGATCCCTCTGAAGATGGCTTGTTATGCCCCTATGACAGAAGCTTCAAAAGTGTGAATCCGCTGTGCGGCATCGCAGTTGTCCCGCGGCTGCATGCCGTATATTTTATACATTAAAAATAACAAAAGGCCAATGCCTATTTGTAAATATTACTTAGAAATATTTTTGTTATTGTTTGACCGTAGCTGGCGCGAAGCAGTGCATTTAGAAAGGTATTGCATTTTTGCGGTTTGCCTCTATGCTATTTGAAGGTGGCTTCAGATTGAAATTCCTAAAAGTTACTTCAGAAGCATCTGGTATAATAGCTATTATGGTTAATTTAGTGAACCGACTTTCAGATTATCTAATAATTCAATTGTGTTTTCCTTATTGCACAACGCCTTCCGTGAATAAGGCGGCATATTTCGCAATTAAAAGGCAACAAATTGTTACAGTTTAAATTAACATTTGTATAAGTAGGATAAAAGCAATGCTGCAATTGATAATTTCTGAAGTCAAAGGTAGCGTAACGTTTTTGGCACAAATAGCTGCATTTTATCTTAGCAGTGGAAGGCAATTCGATGATTTCTTCGTAATAAAGAGGAAAGTTTGACAGGCTGCCCTTAAGTCAAGTGGAAATAGTTATGTCAAGTCAGTACAATAATAGTTATAGCAGTTTGAGTAGTTGTTTGGCCGGACAATCAGAAGTAAATATCGCTAACAGATTGATTCCTGTTGCAACCGCTGTTTTACCGTTAGCTTGGGTTCAAACAAGGTGTTTTTTGATAACCTGTGCAAGGCTGCCGTAGATATCTGCAATAGCTGTGTCAGTGAACCTTCTGTGTGTTAATGTCTGGCAAAAAAACTGAAATTGAAGAGATGTTGATTTGCCCACTGCCGTGCCGTTAGCCTTTTTTTGAGCTGTGGGCAACGAAGACAAATCTAAAATAATTTTCTTCAGGAACGTTATAAACTAATTATAAATTAATTTGTTGGGTGACCTCAACAAAAACCAATCTCTGGCACAAGTTTAACGTAAATAGAATGGGACCGTAAAAAAACGCGTTTGTTTTTGGTGCCCGATAATAATATTTCCATTTTCCTCTATTTTGAATTAATAATTGATTATTTAATATAATGTTCATATTTTTGTTCTGTGATGGCACTTGAGTGCCAAATCGTAGTAGTGTAAATATAAGATTGTACTAGGTGTTACAGTAAATTATTGACCGGTAATACGGTTAGTTATTCACTGGGTTGACAGGGTCAGAAAGCGAACTCGGATCAGCGGTCTTTGTATAAGGGCCTAAAGGCCGTTCTTGACAATACAATATATTTATTGTACGCTAGTGGAAGTTACTTTTCACAAAAATTTAATTATGATAGCTTTTATACTTTGTTTTCATTTTGCAGCTTGATATCTCCACGTAATTGAGAAATATTTATCACAAAGTTTATCCCGGAAGGAGATATTTGTTTTTGTATTAAAGATGAGCGTTTCTGTTCTTTTTCAAGTGAATGTTAAGGACCTTGCTTGGCGGTGCCGCTTTCTTCCCTGTATGTTGACTTAGTAGGTTTCTTTAATTCGAAAAAAGCAGCAAGCTCGAGTGTGTAAATTTTATCTGATAACGAAATCACTACACCAGAACAAGTTTGGTGATGTTTCATTGGATGATTGAAGTAAAGGATTTTGGCCAACTTAATCAATCTGTTCATTGTAATGTCACCGCTCTTGCGTTGGGGTTCATTTCCAAATTTGATTAAATTTATAAACTCGTGCCTAGCTTTCTTTCGAGTTTGGAAAAGGCTAATAATTTGGCTAGTTATGTAAGTCAAAATTTGCTGATTCGCAAATACTTCCAGAAACCTATTCCCTTATGAGGAAGCACTGGTGGGATTTTTAGTTCGTTTTCACCAAGATTTTTGTAAGTACAAATTTTATACGTCAAAAACCATTAAATTCTGCGAACACAAAAACCAGCTCCCAGTTGAATGTTGATAATCATTTTATGTGCTATGTTATAGTTTGAGGGATACATGTTTTATAGCCGGGCATATAAGGCGACTTCATTTTATCAGAGATAGTCTGTTTGATAGGGAAGTGTTATGCCATCTACAACTGTCCCTCGATAGAATGTACGCACGCAGGGAATGCGCACAGGTTTTTTTCTTGTCAATATAGGATCCATAATTTTGATGGATTTTCTTTACCTCAAAGACAAGTTAGTGAGTTACACTCAAACAATTAGACTTAATCACTTAATGACCTGTGGAATGGTGGGTGAATCCCCTTACTTATTAGCGAGATCTCAGTGTAACAAAGGAACGACATTTTCCTTTCTGTCCCAGCCTCACTGCCCTTAGGAAAGCGAAAAAGGTTGCATGGTAAATGATATAAAGTAGACTCCTCCAGCCGTTCAGTAAGTTGGGACGCAGCGCGAAAAACGGCGAGCGGAAAAAGGAGAAAAGGGCTTGACGCGAGGAGCGAACGATTTCTTTCGCCTTCTTCCGCCGCGCTTCTCCCCTATTTTTTCGTGCGCCATGTTTTCGCTCTTCACCCCAACTAACTGGAGGAGGCTAATATATGGAAATGACTATCCCTTCTAACATCTCTAAAAAACGGTAACCTAACAACATCCCTTAAGTCATGGAGCAGCTAAAACATGGCTAAAAACGATAGCAACGCACCCTATGTACGTATGTACGACACACAGGGTGTCGCTCAGTGTTTTTCCAGTCTTCCTTGTCGGTGATTTTACAATACAATCAGCGGTGCTCAATGAAATATGGCGGCATTCATCGATTAACTCTTGTTGTTAATAATGATAGCATCCAGCAATAAATACATGATACAGAACCATTTTAACAAGACATTAACTGTACATATAGAGCGTTTGTGCTCTGATTTCTCCTGCACTGGGATTTTTCTCTAATTTCAACCCTGGGACTGCCCGTGGGAGTTGGGAGAAAATAGGCCTGGAAATGGGATTTATTTACCACCCCCACTCCTCTTAGAACTCTCTTCATACAACTTTGTTTTCAACAAAGGAACGAAAATAATGTTTTCACGGGGTAATCATGTTCCTGACCCTTGTCTGTTGCCTAGTATTTGGCAGCTGGCTTATCAGGTGTCAAGATTTGATGATTTGTATTGTGTAATTAGGTCCCAAAACTGGACCACGATATTGGCTGAAAGATATCGCCTCTGATTTTAATTGATTTTAAATGTAGTCCTCTTCTATTGCTTTCGAGTTTCGAAAGGCCAGCGATTGTTTGCTATCCCCTCGGGAGTTATTTGCGTGTTCAATTTGTTTTGAGGTACTAAAGAACAAGGTTTTTTTTCCTGTCATGCAAATAAGACCCAAATTTGGCGCTTTGTTGATTCGGTATCTTAGCAGAATAAATGTTTCCCATGAGCTGTACATGGTAACCACATGCAAAGCTCGGGATAATCAATTCAGTATCGTATCAAAGAAAGGCGAGATTGTCGGGAATGGCATGACGCGCGAGTATTAAGCCAACTAATGTCTAAATAATGCCAATGAATGGCTCTGGATATTTACTGGCAAATGGTAAAAGCCTGTTGGTTGTGTTTTCGCTTAAAGGAAAGGATTTTGCGCTTCCGTTTACCCGATGGATGCGGACGAGATAAGCATTCAACATGAATGAAGTTTTCGTTAAGGTAAGTTAGACCTTTATGGGCAATTAAGGGCTACTGAACTGTGAAGTCTCTTTCTCTAAACGGGGCTTCCTTAAAGAGCAGTTTTACTTTACAGACGCCAAGTTGACTGAGCGCTCATGGCTCTGAACAAAGGCCACCAAAAGTGCTAGAAGTCGAAATCTTATTTGAACTGGTCAAGTGCGCTCAAGTCAAATAGATTAAACAGCGGATACTTACCAGTGTCAAAGAAACATCACTCTTCGCCGGACTGTGTGAAATTTAAACAAACAGGAGCCTTGGTTTTCATCTTTGTCTTTCGTGCGGCTAATCCGACAGAAGTAAACTTTCAGTAGTAATCGCATTTGATCACCAGTTTGTAGCCACTTTACGACTGAGCTTCATTTAACTTTAAATTTCAATGACGTATATAGTTCACGATATTCGAAGTTAACCAGGTTTCATGCTTCGTTGTCTTAGCCGGCCACTAATTGCGTGTTGCAGACGAAAAAGCGACTTAATGACAACAAAATAGCTCATTAGAAAAGTCACGTTGTACGAGCACAAGTTAAACGCTGATAATACATTTTCAAAAATACTCTGTTAACGGTAAAATTATTTACTTCTTTACCCATATCTACTTCATTTCAATGGATTATCGTCAATTATTCGTTGATAATGGCCCATATTTGACGCACTGAAGTTTGTTTACATAAGTGCAACACCTGAAAGGAAGTGCTATCTGAGAAAAATAGTATTAACCAAAAGTAAATTATTCACACTCAGTTCTAGTGGTTGCATTCTTAGCCTGTTAGATATCGCTACGACAAGTTTGTTTTTTTTTTTTACTTCAAATCACTACTTACACTGTAGTACATACTATTACAATGAATTTATACTTAGAAACGCAAAGCCAGGTTTCAAATGGTTTCAGAAACAACGATTTTAGCTTCATTTTTAAATCAATAAATCAATAAATCAATAAATCAATAAATCAAAAGTTTGGCGGAAAATAAAGTATATTCTTTCCTGATAGAGCTATGATCGTTTACCACTGAATCAGTGGTCACATTCTCTAGCTATTGAATATTTATAATAACACCAATGTATGCAACTTATACAATTGAAAATCCATGAAGAATATTCATACAAACCAAAGGATTACCTTAATGTTTTCAGTTCTCAGACAAATTTACTCAAGCTAAGTGCCATCCTGGAATATAGGGAGAAGGGATATTTTCTCAATACAGTTGATCTCATAATATTCTGTTTAACAAACCAATTTCTCAAGGTGAAAGAGCAGTCAGCAACACAAGCTAGACATAAAGCTTTCGTAATTGTCCGTTGTGATACCACTATGTCATTCTCTAACATCTGTGTATCGGTAGTAAGCCACCTCCTTTTTGTCCGTATTCATGCAGTCTTCATGAGCTACATCCCACAAACAATCATACAAGGCAATGAGTAACACTCTCTCTCCCCTCGTCCTTCCAAATCCTTTCCTTATTTCCCTTCTCTTTTCTTTTCTATGACCTACTTAAAGTTCGGTTCTACTTCAACTTCGCGGTTAACCACTGCAGTGGTGGATCTAGGGGAGCAGCCCCCCCTCCCCCCCACCCCCCATTATTTTGGGTGGAAAAACAAATCGCAGAAGGAAGAAAAGCCGGCAGTGCAAGCAAAAAAAAAAGCATTCAAAATATTTGCCTACGCAACAATGTTGCTAGTTTAGCGAAGCCTGACTATAAATGCACGCTTATTTCACATGCTTACACTGAAATGTAATCAGTGAAAATAAATTTCACATTTTCGTTTACCATGTTAATGTCAAAATCTCCATAACCATAACAACTAGACCAAAGTAGACAGTTGAGCGTCGTTTTCTTGTCTGCGGAAGCTTCGTGTCCTGGAAAATTAAAAAGAAAGCAGACAATTTTAAGATAGAATAACAAATACAAGGCCACTTAAATAATACAGTTCTCTCTGATTCGATAGGAAGCTCGGCGTTATAATTGTATGAAACAAAAAAAAATGTTGTTCATTTTTAAAATTCATATCCTCAGTCTGAAGTTAAACAGACATGATGCTATAATGTTGTCTTAAACTGCTCTTGAAACGCTAACTCGGTTTTTTGAGAAAATTTCAGAAACTTAGCAAACACTCGCCTGCAGCTCGTGTTAGTTCTCTCTTGTTCTCAGATTTCCGTGTTGTTTGACAGTATAATGCATGGCTTCTGGTTTTTTTATTTTTTTGTTTCCAATTGCCCTCACTTTAGTACGAACAAGTATCAAACAATACCCTGAAAGTAATATGCGTTCAATGAGAGCCCTCCACGCAGTGTGTATATATGTTTGAATAAAGAAACCTAGAAAATTCATGCACAAGTTACTCTTTAAATATCTATTGATCCAGTCAATAATAAACAATTATTGCATGTTAAGTTCTTTATAACCAGAGTAACCATGGCCGAAGGTTGACAGGTTGAGGCTGGTAGCATTTACCAAGACCTTGACAATTCTGAATACCATAAAACTCGAATACATTGCAGCAAAGAACTTAATTCACATCTACTTTGGCGTGAAACCTATTGAGTCTGAACACTGAAAGGAGACTTGAATTTCCCATCACTTTTTTCAATCAGTTTCGTCTTCAAATATTTTTCAGTTCTTCCTTGTCTACTTCCATGGATTTTTCCTATTTTTGTCTCAAGATTATTCACTTTTTTCTGTGTCAGTTCGTAATTTGAAATGTGATCGAGATGACATAAGTCTTTGTACAGGACCGCGCTGAACAGGTGGCAAATAACCCCTGTAGCTATGGCCGCACTCTACAGATGACGAAGTATCTAGAAGTATCCGCCGCTTGCAGAATATGGATCCTCAATGTATACTAATTAGCGCAACTGCTGTATGAGGGAGTGGTGCATCATTTAAGTGCTGCGTAATTATACACTCTTTGACCAATTAAAAAATAACAGTTCATTGCTCAAACGAACTTTTCAACTGAACAGCAATCAGCCTTAAAGGTTCGTGATCCGGTAGGTTTAGCAGGGATGGGCGTAATTACTGGTAGGATTATTCGGGAATATGATTATGGTATTAATCAAAACTATGGCAAAATTCTCGAAGGTGATTGGTCATTAGCAGGCCTCATTTGGTTGCTAATGATCAAACTTCGTTTGTCTAATTGAGCAGTCTGAGTGGGTTTCTTTTCTCATTCATCCAAACGAAAACTCGCCTCCTAACCGTTCTTTCTCGAAAAAGGTGACAAATGGTTAGTGTTTTTCCTCGACTGTTGTTCTCGTTTATTAACTAGTAACGGGATGTTTGCGCCGTCCTGTAATCTGTAATCACATGGCAAGAAAAATTTCGACTGGGGCTATAAGTCATTGTACAGTACTCTACTGTACATCTGCCAATCTGATTGCCGGTTCGGTGATTACTATTGGCTTGTTTTGAATTGTTATATTTGTAGTTCTAGGTTTCCAGCCATATATGATCGAAAAGCGCGAAACAAGCCAATATCGTAAGCTGTGAGGGGCTGTTAGCAACTCTCAGGACCAATTTGCACGGTACAGCGTTGTCGTACGTGCTTTAGTAGTGTAGACCACTCGTGTACTGCAAAAACTCACCAACAGCTTTCATCAGACAGCATCGCCTGTTCATGTCGAACGGGACAATCGCCAGTAAGTTTAGACCAGAAGAATTCGTGTCGTGGACTTATTAGAACTTATCGCGGGCCGCAAAGTTGTGTTGGCCGTATAATATTGCCCCTGATGTGTAAATACAAATCAACGTACATTGTAAACTATGTTACTCTTTTTTGTCCTTGTTTTTGGTCGCGAATGATAATAATTCAGCACTTAATTGAAACAAATCGAAAGAGACAAAATGTCATATAACGTAATAGTGAAAGATAACGACTGTTATCGGAAGGTCTGAATGAGGTTCATTTTGTTGTTATCTCAGTAATCAGTGGACTTTTCGGTGATTTCTCAGCTATCAGTTTAAATTTCTGCCCATTCCTCAGCTGCCAGTAAATTTTGCAGATCTCAAATCTCAACAATCAGTTTGAACACGCGTCGTTTGTAAGCTGACTGTTAAAATTTTGACCAATTCTCTGAGCTATCACATACCATCACTTAAAATCAGCCTAGACCCTCTTTTAATAACAGGTTAATTAACAAATCGATTAACTAAGGTTATGAAAAGATGAAGGCTCAAATAAAACTCCTTTCAATGACAAAGTCTGTAGGTTTCTCAGCTATTGACTTCAATCTGGTCCCATTGTGTCTTCCCGATGATGAAAATCGAGTCAAACCATAATTTCAGTTGCAATTTGATTTCCCATGCACCGTTTCACAACCCATTTCTCGCACCTTCTTTCTTGTATTTCTTTAGTGTTTTTTCCTGTCTTTCAACTTGGTATTTGTATGTTCCGATTCAATAAAAAGACCAGTTTGTAACATTCACCAGAAACCGAGCGCGTCATTGCCTTAGAGGGAAGAATTTCTAGCGCGTTAAAATATTTTTGCATTTGCTGAAAAAATTTAAGCGTTCTTTGGTTAAAATAAGCTTTCCTCTGCCAGTCTATATTGGAAATATACTCTATGAAACGTTTAAATAAAAATTTTCACAACATAACTAGGAAAAAATAGATATTGTTAAAATGGATTAAACAATGCAATCACAAAATATCTCTTCAATTGGTAATTTTACTCCTTAAAAGATCAAATGTTATTATTGTTCATTTTTGTATGTATCAGCCTGTATTTGTACTATTTTTAAGTCGTTTTTGAAACTTTTAAACTGGTAGCCGCAGGGTTGAGATTTGAAATGTTTTTTAACCAACCGGAACGCTTTTAACCTTCTCTGCAAATATTATTTAGTTAACAACACATCCATTATTGCTCCTAATAAATAGTTCTTTGTTTCAAAGTGACGTATGACCTTTATGTTGATTTACAATACAAAGAATCTGGCCTTGGGGAAAGTATCAACTTCATTCTAGTTACTCGAAACGGCAATTATAAAAATTGAATAAATTTGTTCATTCTCAAGCGCATTGCGGCAGTTCTTCCGTCATGTGTAACACAGACTCTAAACAGGTTGGCAAAACGTCAAATTTTTCCCGTTTTCACTCTGTGTAGACTGAGGTCAAACTGACTGTATAGCATAACCATCTCACTGTGCAAACATATTAACACATCAGCATGTAAGCGTGTAAACAGAGCGGCACATCTAGGAGCCATATCACTTCAAGTAAATCGAGTTTTTTTCTCTTATTTCAGGAACAGAACGAAAACTTCTCGCCCAACCCAACAAGGGCAACCACAAGATTATCCCAAGCTAGCGTAATTAGTTATGCCAGCCACTTTAGCCGGTCGGCAACCCGTAGGAACAGCGAGACTAGCAGTGTCGATGGTAAAACAATCAAAGACTTCTTTAAAAATATGATGCGGAAATTTTGCCCTGATCGACCAAGGTATTTCAATCGACCGTTGGAGGACAAACATGGCTGTAATGATGAGGTGAGTTCAGTTCAGTGTAATATTCTTTGCATCTAGTCATCTTGTATCAAAAGCAATGAGTTATGAAGCGGCTGAAGATAATAATTAAGTTATAACCCACGATATAACCGATTGCCTTTTACGCGCAAATCAGTTGTATTCCGCTTCCGCGCGTGTTGCTTCGTCAAAATTTAACGAACTCACTCGGATCATGCGACAAATTTCACGGCTAACAGTTTCCTGAATGATGAATTCCAAATGGTTACAAGTTCGTTTTAGCTGGAGGCGACCTGTAAGTTCATATAGCCAAATTATGAATACCTAGTTAACAGTCTGTACATCAAGATTAACAAGCAAACTAAGTGATGTCCTGATTCAGCAAGTAACCGCTAGTCACTATTCTCCGACAAATTAGTGGCTCTGTCTTTATGGATTTCTTCACTGGAAAAAATGACAAGGACACTTTGAGTTCGGTTGTTCAGAGCGCAAAAAGTGTTTTCTTTGGCCTAAGAGAAAAGCATTATCACTCTAGCAATTATCTTTGTTTACACAGAGAAACATTTGTTTACATCATTCATCATGACTGATTAAGCTTATGGTGGCAAAACAGACCCAAACAGACCAAACAGAAGCAAATTAGACAAATAATAAAATGAGGTTTAATGTCATATATGTGAGACATAAAATTATATATTTTGTACTGATGGTTCAGTTCACTAAATAATGTTAGTTAATGGAATGTACAAACAATAGTTCAGAATATAATTGCTGACGCCCAATATTGTCTCTTGTATGTCAATGAGAAAAGCAAATAAGAAAATCAAATTCCGTTACTAATATTTGTTTCGTGCACAGATAGTACATGAGATTGAACTTCTATCAGATTTATGCTTATTGATTCACAAGCAGCCCCCCCCAAAAAACTTAGACATTCTTGAAAAACAGATACATACATGTAGCTACATGTAAACGACATGAAATCATTTATAATTAACAATTAGCATAATTAGTACAAGGCTGAGTGAATGTGAAAACTCTGTTAATTGTTTCACTTCGTCAGCAAGCACTGTTCTATGGTACTTTTCAACTGTTTGCAGTATTTTTGCGGTCAAAGGCACCAAAAGCACTCGTCTGGCTGAGCACAGCCATGATTCAAGGTTTTCTTCCATCTTGTTTCTTATTTTAAACAAGGGTGGAATACTGTGTTCATCTTAAGTCTCAACTACACTGCATTTCGATTACTAAGATAACTTTTTGTGTTGCAAAGTGATTCAGCCTTTTGCTGACGAAATTAATATTTTTCCGCCTTAATCAAAAGTTTACTCAGTAAAATTCCCACGACAAGAAATGAAAAGAGAACAGCAGAAACCTCAAAAATTGTCTGTCTCTCTACACTGCCTCAGTTGTATTGAATCATAAGGTGACGTTATCAGAGCGAATACTAAATATTCTTGGTCACAGAAAGTTTCATTTGTAATGCTCTACGCCACACAGGTCCTCGGAGTGCTTAATTTTGACTTCTAATTTTCACACGATACATGAAAATTGAGCGATTTATCAACTCTTTGAACAACCTGTCCGAGGCAGATTAGAAATACTAGATCATAGATGTTTAGAATTACGGTTATGTTTCTCTCTTTGAAGACGGGCACAAGACAGAATATACGTCAAGACGAAGCATTTCACCTTTAGCTGAAAAAGAGAGTACATGATAGTTGAATCTCCTCAAATATAATCGACTATCATAAGCGTGGTCAAACGGGAAAAACTATCATCGGCTATTGTGAAACATTTGACCAAGCTCAAAGTGAATGATAATGAATGAATGATAGTGAATGATAGTACATCATGGTTGGTGCTACAAATATCATGCGCCATTTCGCCAGGGATTAAGAGACGGACTCGGCTGCGAGTTAGGATAATCCTTGTCTAAACATGGGCATCACACAAAACAAAAAATACGGGAACAAGATCAAATAAATAGCTAAAACAAAGTAAGGTAGATGAAACGTCACGAGGAACGACGAATCTAGGACTTAGTGAGTCTCAAATATAGTTCGTGCCACAATTCGGCTGGACTGGTTTTACGTCTCTGAAGTCACTAACATGTGTCGCTAAGTTAACGAGACCATGCACAGTCTTGTCCTCGAACGGCGACAGGTTAACGATCCAGACCGCAGCGAAAAGTATTTGAGAGATCTTTGAAACACTGTCTTGTCCTTTTTATGATAATATACCATGGAAATTCACAATGGGAATGTACGTCAATAAGTTCCGTTTTCCCCTCACTTGTGTCGCAAATTAATCCATCTGCATAAAACATGTTCATAATATCCTTTCACGGGATAAAGGAAAATGGCTCCATCTGAAGGGCCTATCCACACCATTTTGTTACCACATCAACAAAATAAATTGTAGTTCTCGGTTATTCTGTATGATTTTTTGTTATGACTAAAATGATTTTAGTCTGCGGTCAGCAGAAACCACCAAACAACTGCCCATTCTTCAAACAAAACTAGGTTTATCCACGTTAATGCATTTTAATGAGGATAAAATTTGTGAATTGAAAATAACGATTTCATTGTCGCTTGAGGAGAACCGCGTTTCCATGGCAACACCAGCTCGAAGACGTAGTCGTCGTAGTCGGATGAATGAAATCAATGTTTGTAGATTAAGAGTACGATATAGAAGTTGATACGTACGGTGCTTCAGGAAAGTGTCGATATCTCAACAGTCCTGTTCTGTTCAACACTGTACCTCATGATCAATATCAACACGGCGATTTCTGAGAGACATTATGTCTTCTACCAGGTCTTGTGCACCTTTCTAATTGGCTGAATTGAAGAATATTTAATTATTCAGCTCTCACACGTAAAAACCTCGAGCTTTGTCTTGGTATAAACTATAAAACGACTGGACAGCTGGTCGCGACATGAAACCTTTGATCTTTCTGGATTTGCAGACGTTCTGCTTCGAGTTGAGAATTGCGGAAATGTATTTATCTACTGCTGTCGCTTCATACATGTAATCGTTCCTCATATGGATGCCCTTAATAGTACCTTATCAGGCTTCTTAGAGAAACTGAACTCTTCTGAGGTAAGTTTATGATTAGGAAAGACTTCAAGTTTGTGTCAATTTCCTTGAACATAAATAATTCTGGACAGCGATACAGAATCGGTAATGATATTTTAGTTTGTTTTCGCACGTTGGACGAGGTTGATTTCAATGACGACTTTCAAACCTTTTTACCTCGATGTAAGTTTAGACAATTTAAACCGTTGAAAATTGGTCGTAAACAAAATATTTAAAACCGGATTTCGTCGAATTTCAGACGCCTAATTAAAAAAAAATGGGAAATTATGGTCGCGAAATGTAGTCGGTTAACTATCAATGCACAATCTGTCGATCGTTACAAAGTAGCGCTTATCAACAGTAAATTAAAACTGAAGCTATGATGAGAACATTAGATAAGCTTCTGGGCTAATTGACAAAATATATTTTACGGAAGCACTAAAATTTCAGCCACGAATGGTAAACAAATTAACTATTAAATACTTTAAAAGCGGTTACCGAGATCTTCTCTGCGATCCAACGGCACAAACCTCATTGAAAAACGATGTAATTCGTGAACGATTCCTGTAAGCATAGCAACCCTGTTAACTACTAATTTTACCATGTTAATATCGCTGTAGTGGCTGTATTTGGCGTTAAGTTTGTTTGTTGTCTTAAAAGATAACGAAAGACGCGACTATGCTGGCTTTCAACGACGCAATTAAAACCGAGAAATGTGTAGTAAACGACATGTCTTCGAACAAGGAAAATTATTTTCTCCATCATAAAAAGCTTGCCATACTGTACTTTAATAGATAGGAACAACTTGCAATTTTTTTCTCTACTGAACTGAGTTTCCCTTGATTTATCTTGTTAAATAAATTATCGCTCTCTCACAGAATCATTGTTTGCGAGTTTTAATGGCGTACATAAAAATTCTAAGTGTTATCTTCGAACACGGCCAGCAATCTCGTAAAATAATTTGTTGATTTTTCTGATCATGACTCTAAATGGAGATCAAGGTAAGGAAGGAAACTTTTTTGCCGATTTTGGACAAGAGTTGGTCATTGTACAGCCAGCTAACTCAATTCTGAAAACTTGGTTGTATATCAAGACAATATACAGAAATAAAGCCACTCTTTGATGATTTGTTCGGTTATTCCCATTAGCTGACTGCTTGAAAATGTGATGATTTTGTTAGGAGAATTTGGATATTTATCTACTAAGTATCAGGGAATAATTTCATCTTATTTCTATACCTTCCTTAGAAGTTTTAAAGCTTTGTTTAAAAGGGAATAAAAAATGGAAATTAGGGTAGACAGATCAATAGCTGACTTAAGCCTGATATTTATCTAAAAAATCAAAACATTTTTCGTCCACGATTATCATTTTATTTTGCCATCAATTTTCTGCTTTTTAGCAAGCGAGCAAGTAGAATTCTCCCCGGGAGAATGATATTCCAAACAAAAACACCTGCGTTAAATTTTGCGTTTCCTTTGTAATTACTATCGTAGTTGTATTTAGTTGAATAACATAGCTTGTACTAAAAACGTCCAGAATATTCTTCTGTTTGTTTTTCCATGACTAACTGAAAAAGAAAACTTACCAAGTCCAGTGGAGTGATCTGAGTAAATAGCACCGCGTGTGCCCATGGCATTGAGCCCGCTTGTGCGTTTAGCACTGATAAGATCTAAATAATCAAACCCGGTGAGCTAAGTGGTTTGTGGTTAGGTAGTACTAGACATAATAAGATGCCCTTGGTTATCAACACTATCAAGCATTTCACGTTATGTAGCCTAAATAAACAGAACTCTCTCCTCAGTCGCGGCTCCGTGTCGTGGATTGGTTTCAATGCTCTGTGGTCTTCTGTTTTGAATTTTCACACACAGGTGAAAATTAGTGGACAACATATATACACACATTTCTGTAGTGGTGTATCAGTCAGCAGATAATTGAATATTTCGAATTCAGCGTCTTGAGCACCAGGCATCCTTTTACTGGAAACACAATTTAGCATGCGAAGAACGGAAGAATTTTACACGGGTTTTGCAAACATAATCCAGCGCTCATAAATTTGATGTGCGAATGCGATCATGCCTTGTCTTTGTCTTTATTATTCAACTCTACTCATGGTGGAGTTGGTCTTTATTTTTCAACTCTTACGGAGGCAGCGTGGCCGAGTGGCTTAGGGCGCTGGTGTTGTAATCCGGCTTCAAGGCCTTCACCCTGCCACTAGCGGGATTTGTTTGTTTGGATTTTTTTTTTCCACTAGCGGGAATTGTTTCTCGGTAGTCCCGAGGAGTTCAAATCCTCGGTCACGCTTTGTAAATAGCCAACTGGTCTGCCTCGTGCCAGTTGGGATTTTTAACTAAGTTACGTTCATTTGAAATACTTGTTTCCTTTGTTTCAGTGGCATGCCTGTAAACTAGCTAAGCTTAGTGCTTGTATGGCTAAGTGCCTGACCACTACAAATAAGATTTTTATTTTTTACAGTTATTTTTACAACGCGAGAAACACGATTAGCTCGCTGTAGTAGCACATGTAGGTTTTTTATTGTCCTCTTATGAAAATAGTTGGATAAAATATACAGCTTTTTTTTTTTGTTTCTTTATCATGTAAAACAAATAGATTCCATGTTGCCGTGCGTCTGTTCAGTAATAGATCATAGATGGCGTCAAAAGGTGGTAAGAACATCAGTGACACATTCGCCTAACGGCTCATGTGTCACTTTTTAACGTCATCTGTGATCTATTACTGAACAGACGCACGACAACATGGAATCTATTTGTCAAGTAGAGTGATGTTCAGTTGATCTGTTTTCTGTTGCAGACCTTTATTGTCATCACCAGCCGCTTTGGAACGCCGCACGTGCACAGACTAAATAAAGCCAAATCTGTTTATATATTTGGTCAAAATCACCCTTTTAGGAAGTTTTCATTGTATATAACTACAAATCAGTATCCTTTGGGCAAATTATTATTAAAATTTCATTGTGATATGTAGGTTCAGTTGCCTTTCAGTAAGCTCGTTAAACTTTGGCGCGAGAGACCTGAGTTCGAACCCTGATTTGGGACTAACGCTCAGAAGTCGTGTCAAATTTTCAACTCTTTAAATAACAACATGTCACAGACTTGAACTTGACATCCACCGTTCCTCAACTTTAATATCTCCTTAATGATTAATAACCTCCCCCCTTTTACCTTGTTGACCAGTGCCGTCAGAAGAGCAACAGCGATCTGATTCCATATTGAAATCGAAGGTCATGATAGGTTTCAGTACCTCCGAGGGCTAAATATCCTTTCTTTTCCTCAATTTTCATCCAATAGCTTTGAGCTCAGAAGGAAATTCTAGGCTATTTATTTTGAGAACTTTATGTTTGGTCACTTCTATGCCGTGTTGATTCATTCTTGATGCTAAATTCTTTAACGCTGTTCAGATATTTTGAAATTTTTGTTATCCTAACTATTTTAGTAAACTGTGTTTTTCTTGCATTGACAAATCCTCCAGAGGAGCCTGAGTGAGTATTTCCAACTGATTTCACTATGTAATGATTACTAATCAAAGAAGTGATAATTTTCTTCCGTTTACTAGTGAACATTACAAACATCCAAACGATTTCCCTTGGTTATTTCTTTAGCTTCATTTAATAAGTGAAAAGGATAGACAAGCAGTTCCCGCCATCTATCGAGAAGGGCAAACGTGAGGCGAATCTTTTCGCCAGTCAAAAAACGGGAGGGGGGCGGGGGCAAACATGCAGAACAGTCACGTCGCGTTCGTACTTTTTACAAATGTCAGTAAAACGCGAACTGCAAAATGTCTATTATTTTTGTTTATTGGACCGAACCCATGAATGACCAGGGGAAACGTTGTCAAATACAGCAAAAGGAGACCAACAGAACCAGAAGTCTATAACATACATCCTATCTGGTGTTAATTGACGTCTGATAAAACTGATAATATCCCGAGATAAGGAAATAGTACCCTAGTTGCTGGTGTTAACAGGTTTCCTGTTTAACTCTTCTCATTTAACAGATATGTGTTTGCAGCTATTTATACTGTTGAAATGATTCTCAAAATAATTGCCAAAGGATTTGCTCTTCACAAATATGCGTATTTACGAGACCCGTGGAATTGGCTGGATTTCGTGGTAGTAATATTTGGGTAGGATCTCTTATTTTGTTGAATTTTACTGTTAATCCCTATATCGAGTCAAGTATCGCCGGATATCCGGCACAAGACAAGTGCTTCTTTTTACGATATTCGATAAATTTCTTTCTTTTTTTTTTCTTTAAACATTCTCATGAACCTTTGGAGGTTAACAAGGTCTCTTTACTAAAGAAAATCAAACCCAAACAACTAAGGGGTGGACCATGTGCTGAAGCTAAGAAAAATTTGCATATTAAAAGCTGGTACACTGACCTAGAACAAACGCCTCTTAACAGACGTCAACAACTACCGGCGCCTTACAAACGACTTATCCACGAGGAAACGAAACCGACAAACGGACTTCTAAGAGACCGACTTAACAATACATGGACCAAAAACAGACCACTTTGACTAACAATAGACGGATCGAAACCGACCAATGACTGATGACAAACTCTACACGAGTCTTTCAGCCAATACCATCTTGGCTAAACTGACCAATAACGTTCAACGGACCAGACTTATAACATCATCGACTGACAAACACTATTCACTTGACTCTGAAGATGACTTCCGCTCAGGTTGTCGAAACGTCAGTCACCCAGAACAGTTCTTTTCAGAACTACCCTCACCCGGACGATCGCACTATACGAACTACTGATACTCCTGGGTTCAAACCATTTACTATGATAAAATTTATTAATGCAGGTCCTCAGCTGTTTGGTAACAATTTTGCTTTGTAACTCTAAATAAGGTAGAAGTAAGATTATTTCCTTTTTGAGGACTGTGGTGGTTGGATTCTTCGGTCTGTTTTGCTGCCTGTTAAAGCGATCACGAGTAGCTGTCATGCGTCTGCTATCGCAGGCCACTTCACGTCAACTGGTCACAACTTAAAATGGGACCACTTTGATATATTGGCAAAAGGTCGGTCAGATACTCATGGCAAGATAAAGGAGACTCTACTAATTAGGGAATTGAAACCTACCCTAAACGATAATGTTAGCAGCAAAAAGCTTTATCTTTATTAGTTTGCATCTTTTAATATGCAAATTTTTCTCAGCTTCTGTCATTGTTATTGTTAATTAGTTACTTATCTTTAATTTAAATTTAGTTGTTTCTTCTATTCCAAACGGTCACTTCTGAAGATGTATGTCGAAACATACGAAACGTCAAGTTAATGAATTTCGTTTTCCAAAATGCGTTTCAGTGTCATGTTTGTCACAGCAGTTTGTGTGTTATTTCTTATTAAGCTAGGATGGCCAAAGGAAAAGAGTATTTACGGTAATGGAAGAAACTGGGCGTTTCCAATCTCTTTGAATTGAAGCATACAGTCTTACTTTTTATTGCAAATCACAGATCACGCATAAACAGCCGATATAAACAGCGTTGTTATATTTCTTTTCTTTCTCAAGCTATATAACTTTTGCTCCTGGGGTGGCAAATCTCTCTGGAATCAGGACATTCCGAGTGTTTCGAGCTCTCAGAACCATATCAGCCGTAAAAGGTTTGTGATTGTCAGTTTAGAAACAGAAAGCAAAATGAAACTATAATGCATTTTCATTATGCCGTTTGGTCGCTATTGGCTCTACTCTTTTTGGCTTTTTAGCGCTCATCAAACCTTTCTCTTTTATTTCCCAAATTAATATCAATTTCAACTATATGAACCTCAACTTAATAGTAGAGGGATCGTTTGTAAAAGAATGCATCACCAGAACATCCGAGATACATTTAAAAACGCGAGCCTGAATATATCATGTTTGTCTACTCTTAGCTCTACTTTCGTCCCCACCATCGTTTCTCGTACACTCATTCTAAAGGACTCTTATAATTTATCAAGTATTATAAACGATTACTAAGCTTCCTCGTTGTGTGATCTAGGAAGATTCAGTTACGATATGAAAACAGATCGAAACAGATGTTGGGATTAACCGCTCGTCAATTAAAGTCATTATGTCCCGGAGGTACAGTAAAGTTAAGTTTGCTGTTTTATAGGTCTAAAGATGATGGTGAACACTCTCCTTGCATCCATGAAGATGTTATGGGATGTACTCATTCTCACAATGTTCTTTATTTGTATCTTCGCACTTGTCGGCATGCAAGTATTTGTGGGTGTATTGAGAAATAAATGCACGGAGCCTGGGCCCGAGAATCTTCAAATTTCTTACAAGGATTACGCATCCAATCCAAGTGAGTACTTCATGTTTACGATATGATGATTCCCTTTAAAGTTTAGTTCTAGTTTAGAGCACATTTTAAATAATTTTAAAACTGACCCGCTATGTTCCCTTTACATTGTCTCCGCATTGAGAAAAGAAAAGTACAGTTTACCTTGTCATAATATCTTTTAGTTTACTTAATGATCCTTAATAGCTCTTACAAATATTCCTGATATTGACTTGCATACATACCTGGATCGATTTAATCGATGATCGATCTTCCGTGTTCTTGATTCTTTTCAACCTGTTTATTTTAGATGTTTGGATACTTGACTCTGAGGACAGACCCATCGTCTGTGGAAATAATTCTGGAGCTGTGTGAGTAGATGTTGTCAGAATCACCATATTAGATTTGAGCTACAGTAGGATATTAGACTGAAAACTGTACAGACGAGAAGGTGGGAAGTAGAGTCGCTTGTACAATGTCGTGAACCTTTAAGATAATTCTCTCTGGATGTACTTTAGGATACCTTTGCGAAATATTAAGGTGTAGTGTATGCGTAGAAACAAGTATTAAAAGCTTTAAGTGCATCAGATGATCTTCCTACAAAGCTAAAGAGCAAAGCAAATCACGCCCACCATAACATCTTTTTTTGAGTTGCATCTGATTAGTACTCGTATTTTTACTCTACAGGCACTGTTCAGCCAATCACAGCTGTCTTCCAGACGCAGGGGCTAATCCTAATTATGGATATACGAGTTTTGATCATTTCGGCTGGGCCATTATGACGTCATTCCAGCTTGTTACCTTGGACTTTTGGGAGAATGTGTACAATAATGTGAGTTATTTAAATTCTTATTTGCTTGCAAAAGGAGGCGTTTTTGTCCCCCTCTATTGCTCGCCAGCGACTCCTACCGAAAGGCAACTTTAAAAAAAAAAAAACGACTGTATTCTTGCTCGAACGGTACATAGTTAGTATATTGGTGATCACCTGGCAAGAAGAGCAAATCGAGTTCGATTTTTTCCTTCGACTTTAAAGAGATAACAGATCGCGATAGGAGCACTGGCCTGGATGTACGCCTGTTATTTCATTTGCTATTTGCCTCCAAGTGGGAAACAATTTTAATCGCTTTGTAACATAGTCATCTTTTTGGAACTAGACGAATATAACTTATACAATTTCTATAGCTTAACATCATTCCCTGAACTGTTTTCCACTGCAGAGAAAATGGTGAAACCATCAGCTGTTGAACTGGCCTCTCAATTAACAATTATTCCACGAGCGCGCGTTGAATGTGACTATAATAGGCTACAATCGTATCAAACACTCGAATTGCATTATCCAAAGATTCAGTTTTTAATATGATTACTTATCCCTGATTATTTTATTTTTTTCTTAAGATCCTTTACGCCCTGGGTCCGTGGACAGTGATCTATTTCCTGTGCATCGTGTTGTTTGGCCGATTTTACCTGATCAATCTCGTTCTCGCTGTAGTAGCAGCATCGTATGAAAATGAAGTGCAAAATGCTAAGCAGGTAAACATGTAGCTACGAAAAACAAATAACCATCAAGTGAAATAACTCACGTAGAGAAATCCCTACAAAAGTGATGCTGGTACCACTGTGAGATCTTTAAGCTTTTATTTAAAACTCGAGTATATACAGTGTACGAGAACATATTCAAAACCCTTGTTTTCTTTTCAGGAAAATGACAACTTACGCTTCAAACAGAAACAACAGGGCTCCACCTTCTCTCTGCGCAGCCGCAGAAGTATCTTGAGCCTCGTATACGGTGAACAAGATGTGGTTTTGGACGAGACGATTCACAAAGCCATGTTCGATCAAGCAGCAAACACTGAAAACCCTTTAACACCCTCACAAGCCGAGTCAATTTCTGTTTTTCAAATAAAACAAAGCCCTCAAGACATTAAGGACAACACAATTACAAGAAAAACCCTCACAAACAATAATCAAAGCGGGAATCCAGAGAAATCCGTCAAAAAGTGTTGTTCTTGCTGCGCTGGGCTATCTGTGAAGTGCGGATTTTGGAGATCATTTAGAAAACGAGTGAAGCGAGTCGTAGAGAGCAAAGTGTTTGAAGTTGGTATTATCATGATTATTCTGATTAACACTCTGTTCATGTCTATACAATATCACGGAATGGACGAGGATTTGGGCTTAGCGATTGATATTGTTAATCTGGTAAGTAAAGACACCCAAACCTTCAATTAATCGGTTTAAGTTGCTTTTAAGGACATTATTTTAGGTTAGCTTTTTACTGAAATGCTATATGTTTTAACATGTTTTGTATTTTTAGCAACCATTGTAAATTTACATCGTTATTGTGTAAAAAGCACCTGATCATTTCATGGAAAGTATATTGTATTTTAATATTATTATTATTACTATTATTATTATTAATTATCAGTTACATTTTAGTTATCAGTTAATTGCTAATTGGTTGTTGAGTACCTGCCCGGCAACGCAGCATAATGAGCTACCTGATAAATTCGATGGATAAAAATATCCCAAATTTGTTTTAGTTCACAACACAATGGCGTTGAAGAGGTAATGAAATTCTTTGGTTTACCAGGCTGTGCTTTAAGTCGGTTTTGAAGACAGGTATACATGTTTGACAAAATAAAGAACGAAAACAACCCCTGCTCTCTTCCAAACAAAACCACATCCCTTTGTTCGGTAATATGTTTTGCCAGGTGCGCATGATTTACAATCCGTCAAGTTCCAAAAGTTCCAGCTATTTTCAAAGTTTAGTCTCACATTTAGTATCAGGATTGCAACTGATTCTTGGCTCTGTTTTGCAGGTCTGTACATTTATCTTTCTGGGGGAAATGATTCTCAAGCTGATCGCTTTCAAGTTTCGTGGTTACATCAAAAGCCACTGGAACATTTTTGATGGCGTAGTTGTGGTAATCAGTCTCATAGACACTGTCTTGACTCTGTCAAACCTCATCGACAACACGGGCACAAGTGTATTGAGATCATTTAGACTGGTGAGCATTTTAATTAAATCCTTTAAGATGGTTCAAAATATTCCAGTTTTTGTTTTTGCTGTAGTCAGCTACCTCAGGGCCGGCTAGTTCAAACTCCGATTAGGTTATCCCAGGATTAGCGGGAATTTTGTTTTCAGTTTTGTAACTTTTCTTTAAGTTTACAGCTTTTTTGGCAAATTTTGATTCATAAAAATAACAATTAGTTTTCTTGGCGTTCTTTCCAGGTTCGTATTCTAAAGCTCGCCAAGTCCTGGGGCACAATGTCAAGCCTTCTGGCAACAATAGGTCACAGTCTGGGAGCGCTTGCCAACCTGTCCGTCATATTAGCCATCATCATCTATATCTTCGCTGTGGTGGGCATGCAACTGTTTGGTTCTTCCTACACGCCTGAGAAATTCGACGGCGAAATTCCTCGGTGGCGATTCACAGATTTCTGGCATTCATTTTTGCTAATATTTCGGATTATTTGCGGAGAGTGGATTGAACCTCTGTGGGACTGCATGAGGGCTGCAGGGCCAGCTTCCATTATACTCTTCATACCAGCATTTATTTTAGGACACTTTATTGTAAGTAAACAAATATATTTTTCGTTGTCATTTTGATTTTTCATACTGACGTATACATAAGTAAAAATGAAATTCATTCCAATATTTGTTCATGCACCAATTTCGATATGCCAGTGTAACTTGGATCGGAGGCGAAATGAAACAAAATGAATTATTTATTTCCATACAAACTCCAATACATCGAAGTTATTTACCAGTAGGTTGGCAACAATACTCACGATTCTGTCACGTTTCAGATCTTGAACCTTTTCCTGGCGCTTCTGTTAAGCTCATTCGCTGGTCAAGCCTCGCCCTCATCCGCGCAAGGAAATAAAAAGAATCGAATCTTCACGCGCCTAAGAAAGGTCGTGATTGCGTCGCGTTTCATCAGGAGAATCAAATCCAAAGTCAGGTGGCCTCAAAACAGTGTATCCCCGACAGAAGAGGTCGTGGAAAGTAAGTACGCACAAAACTAGGGTTTGAGTATTTACTTATGGATAGTCTCCCCCAATACCAGACATATAGGCAGTGTTTTTCGTCCTTCTGCTGTGAAGAAGTTGACCATCGTAAAGTTTCATAGAATTGTTTCTGTGATGACTAATAAGGCCAATTCGAGCCCAGACGTCCCTGGAACTCTTACTTCGCAGTTTAACTGAGTTCTAAGGAACTGTTGTGATTACAGACACTACTGGATTTGTGGACTGCAAACTTTAGTTCCCTGTCTCACAACGCTGTACTTCACATGCTGCAGTTGTATAGATTAAGCCCTGTCCACACTAACTTGCTTTCGTTTGAAAACGGATTCTTCCCTTCTTGAACAGATTGCAGCTGATTTTTCTTGAATTGTAAAATAAAAAGAGCAATGAAGTAATTACTAGCCAAATAGCACCATAGATTGCTAAGATTAGGAAAATTAAGATGACAAGAATTATCAATGCAAGACGTATTGCAAGACGCGGCTACTTGCAAAAATGTAACCAGTTATTTGAAGGATCAGCATTGGACAAGTTTTCAATTAATTCAGACTTGGTTTAAATTGCCAACAAGGTAGCCGATTTAGTGAGGGTCTTACGTAGAACGCAATTGCGAAAGATGGAGAAGACGAAAGAAACCTCCTCGACTATTTAACTGAAATCGACTTCAGTAGTTAAGTAAGCAAATGCTTTCTCACAGAATGAAATAATCATATTGCAGTTGAATTTCTCTTTTTTAGTCAGCAATGGCCATACAGACACAGTGGGATCAATATCTAGGAGAGCCTCGCAAGTGGACTGCCCGCCTGACTCACCAAAAACAGTATGTTGCTGTTCCTTGAACACCCGGGAATATGAAGTTGACAACTGCTTTCCGACTCAGCGTAGCTGCTGTAGTAGGTTTGAAGATACCACATGTCACGTGATTTGGATGTGCGTACGTCACAAAGTTAAATGCTTTGTGGAGCACAAGTATTTTGAATGGTTCATCGTGTTTCTAATTGCAGCAAGTAGCATTGCTTTGGTGAGTGGATTTTTCTTTGAGCATGTCCATGATATTATCACAGTTACACTGATATCACTCTGTTATATTTCATGACTCACTATATGCCAAACCGTCGAATGTCGACGGCAAACTCGGAATCAGATTTGCCAGGCAGGAATGTGCCGTCTATTTCACAATGATACGTTGCTAAGAACGTACGCGATCTCTGATCATGACTGATCGATTTAACATGTCAACGAAAAAACTGAATGAATGTCGAATGTCTGCAAAAGTAAGCATAGCGAATCAAGGCATGAAAAAACCACCACCGCTCCAAATCGGTGATTATCAAGTTAATCTCTGCCATTGACCCATGTAAAATGAAGTGTAGGGACTACTATTGGCTCTACATTAATGGTAGTACTTGTACTGCCACTGGACTGAAAAAATGGGAAAAAAGAATTAAAATTAGATAACATCGATTGGAGGTCAAATTTACTCTTATTGGACAAACATGTTGTGAAAATAAATTGAGAGAATTTAGCTTTAAGTTGATTCATAGACTAACTGTTACCAAGAAGAAATTATGTACCTACGGTTTAGAAGACGAAAACAAATGTTTATACTGTAAAGAGCCGGACTCGATCCTTCATACCTTTGTTGAATGCCATTTTACTCAAGACTTTTATACCAAACTTGTCGATTGGTTCAATGCAAAATTCAATTGTACTTTCTCCCCAAAGTCTCATGAGATATTATTTGGAATAGTGATAAATATTTCTGAAAACAGCGTTCTACAATTTAATTACTGTTTATTATTTGCAAAATATTACTTATACTATCAGAAAATGTACCCTAAGCATTGCAACATAGACGAGTTTGTTATTAAGGTGGAACAAAAGCTGATCATTGATAGTCGTCTGAAGAGAAAGATTCTTGTATGAGATGCCTCTAACCCTGATGCATTCTATCCATACTTTATGCTCGACTATAGTGACTATGTAAGCAAGATGGTGCTCGACTTGTAATTTTATATTAAGTGTGTTCATTGTAATTTTATTTTGTTGTAACCAATAAAAAGATCTTTTGTTTTTGCAAAAAAAAGAGTTTTTTTCTGCCTATGAAAAACTTGAAGATAATTGCTCATTTTCTAACGTGCTTGAAAGTTTTCTTCAATTTTACTCAATGACTTGAAATAACTTGATTATGCCAAACCCATTTGATTTGCAAAAGTTTTTAAATATACAAGTTTCACTTCTTCTAAGGCCTTCGAAGACGTCTACTTGGACAGCAGACCAACCTTGAAGGAGGTTTTAAGGGTGCTCAACATTTTCTTTGCCGCTGTGTTCGTGCTCGAGTTCTTACTCAAAATCATCGGTCTCGGTTTCACGTCCTATTTCTCGAGCGCGTGGAACTGGCTTGATGTCGTTATCATAGTGGTAAGTAATCTTGTTAAATCTTCCTCTTGAGGTGTTTCCGAATTTCTCCCTAGCTATAAAATGAGAGTTGCTGTAGCCAAGTAATCTAGTTGTTTGACTTTAAATTTAGAAGTCTCGGGTTAAAATCGCCGTTTAAGTTGTTACTGGATTTACTTGAACACGGTGGCTCTGAGTTTAACAGCTCCACAGTCAAGCTTTGTTTCAATAGCTCCTTCAGAAGTTGATTACCTTTCCATTAGTTACGATTATTATCCAATAGTTTTATGTTCAGTTTGTTTTAGTGAACGTTATCGATGTCCCTATTTTTGATTCCTCAAATGAATTACTAGCCTGGGGATAGCACAACATTTCAAAATTTATTCAGAAAAAAATAACAGCTCTGGTGGTACCAGTTATTGTGTCTGAAAATGTATTTTCATTCTTTCAAAAGGTTTCGCTCATCGCTTTGTTTGGCAATGAAGAAGTCATGTCTATTCGCTCTCTGCGAACACTGAGAGCTTTGCGGCCACTGAGGGCAATCTCCAGATTTGAACGCATGAGGGTGAGTTATTTTAAAATGCTTTAAGCGCCGTTATTTCCCAGTTTCCGATGTCCCTATTTCAATATTTTTATTTTCATTATTGCTCTATGATCTTGCAGTGTCTCGAAGCACGCCACCTTCTTCAACCAGTGCACTTTTCAACCAGATAGCTTTTGGTACATATAAGGCAAATGGCCAATTTCCTCCATAAGGCACGCCCGCAGGGAATCACGGTAGTTGTTTCCATCATCTTGGACTGGATATATATTATTTTTGCAACTACCATGATTCCTTGCAGGTGCGCCTCGTGCAGGGAATTGGCCATAAAAGAAAACTCCAAAACGTGACCCCTCTGGGATCCGATTTAGATACACAAGGAAAAAATTCCAATCGGTGACAACTCAGCACACTAGTATATAGGATGAAATAACGCCTACACTTTATGTCGGCTTGCTATCCTTTGAACGTTACTGGGAACAACATACATCGTGTTATATAAACGATAGCCACCATTTGGCACGAAAATATGCTAGGATATTTGTCCACGGACCTTGTCTGTTCCGAGAAGAAAATGGTCTGTGACAAATTATGCTAATATGGTCGTCGATTAATGCGGACTGTGACATTTTTAAGCCTCTTGGCTTTATTTTTCAGGTGGTGATCAGCTCTCTGTTTCACGCCATACCCGGAATCGCCAATGTTCTTCTCGTGTGCCTGGTATTCTGGCTTATTTTTAGTATCATGGGCGTCAATCTTTTTGGCGGGAAATTCTACAAGTGTGTCGACGCGCGCGGCGTTAAGTATGACGCTTCTGTAGTGGCTAACAAGTCCGCATGCCTTGCAAGAGGAGACCGATGGATTAACTCAAACGTTAACTTTGATAATTCTGGCAACGGATTTTTGGCACTTCTTCAAGTGGTATGTTTAATTAAGAAGTTAAAGATTCTGTATTTCGAATATTTTGAAGGAAATCATGATGTACTTTTCTAAAGAGTTGGCACAATAGCAGTACTAACAACATCATAGAGCGACAGGTCAACTTAATAATATAGTTATATATAATTCAGGTGTCAATGGAAAAAATATTTGATAGCGCAGAAGAGGGGCATCTCCACTCAGTTAAGTTGGTAAAAATCGTGAGATATCACACCAACTGTTAAAATCTGAATAAAAATAATACAATGGGATTCTAAAAAAAAAAAAAAAACAGATTCAATAGTAGCTGATGTGGATGGTCCTGAGGGAAAAAGGAAGGCAGATAATTATAACCTGTTGCCTTTCAGGCTACTTTTGAGGGATGGATGGAGGTTATGGAGGACGCTATTGATGCTACTAAGGTTGGTAACATTTATCTTTGCTTCGTCTTTTCTGGTCTCCGTGTTCAACTAACACCCATCCTCGAACCAACACGATTTAACATTCAAAAGTCATACTATATTGTAAAGGAGTTTTGTGTGATATGCTAAGTTACCTTCAAATCGAAGGAAGTCTCATTTCCTTAAAATTAAAGTTGTCTTAAATAAAAACAAATACCACTGGTGGAGGTAATAATGAAGAAAAGAGGAACAACGCTTGATGTGATTACGAGGGAATACAAAAAAACTAACAAGAAAAATTAGGACTGAATTTCACAAGATTCGCCATCCTTGACGTAGCGACTTTAATTTCCGCGTTAGAAAACTAATGAAGCTTTTAGTTACTATCGCTTTCAATAACACGAGACCTCTGAAGTTTAAAACTTCCGTACCTAACGATTTCATTTTACGCTGCTGTCAATAATCTTAGCGGAAGTCTCACGAAACAAAGTTTTTTTCTTCAATGACTTGAAAGTGTTAGTAATAGTCTATGCTCTGTAAGTGACGGATCTTGAGCCATGTTGTCTCTTTCTTTTTTCGTTACTCCTGTCATTGTCGTGGTAGATATGTTTAAAGCAGCATAAGAAGACATTGTTAGGTATGTTTTGGAAAGTTTTGAAAGTCGCTGTACAAATGCCAGATAATAATAGTGTCATTTTTTTTGAAATTGAGGCTTTTCAAAAAGAAACAAAAAGACGTACATTGATTCATTTGAGAAAGGTGCTGGACTGAAACTTCATGCAATGCAACTTTCAAAGCAAGAGTTGCTGTTTACTATCACTCTGTATTAACTCGCATGTTGTTTGTTTATTGCTTGTTTACTTATCACTTACAGGTGGATCAACAGCCCGTGAGGGAGAACAATATGGCTGCTTACATGTTCTTCATTGTGTTCATTATTTCTGGATCTTTCTTTGTCTTAAATCTTTTCATCGGTGTCATCATCGACAACTTCAATCAACTCAAGCAACAGGTCAGCAACCATACACATTTTTTGTTTGTACGTCAATTAAACCGAATTAAAACGTGCTCGACTCTTAGCTAGTGAAATTTAAAACAATATTATTGTTCCCCTCCAGCTGTGCTTTTCTTTAACGTTGATTATGTGAATACAAAACAAAGTTTACAATATTGACTCTGTTGTTTTAATGTATTCTTGCCAACAGATGGAGGTGTTGGGTTCCGTACATATTTTTTTGACTCCAAACCAGAGGAGTTGGATGAATGCGATAAAAAACGCAGCAGCTAAGAAGCCGAAAAAGAAAATAGCAAGACCAGAGGTAATGACGGGATTCCGATCAAAGATTCTTCGTAAAACAGATCCCACACAGTCTGTACTGAACATCGCTCACTGGAAAATAAATTTAAAAAATATATTGCTAGTACTCATCTCTTTGACAATTTTCCCTCAATACAGAACCGCTATCAAGCTGTGGTGTTTGACATGGTGGAAAATCGCAAGTTTGAGATCTTTATTATCTTGGTGATCACAGTGAACATGATAGTGATGATGGTACAGCATTATGATCAGACACCTCAGGTTACATTGGTGTTAGATATCCTTTAATTCAACTATTTTGGAGTATTTTTACGTTTTTAGCAAGACATCCCTCCAATATTAGCCTTAAAAGACGAGACGCCTTGAGAGAGTACACTAGTCACTTAAAAATGGTGAAATAAGTTTCTGGTTTACACTTGTTGTTCTAGTGGTTAGTCCACTCGATACTGTATCTAGCCGTCCAGGTTCAACTTCTGGCTGGGGCCATGATTTTGTGTCCTTGGGCCAAACACTTTACTGATGCAGTGTCTCTTTTCACCCATGGTTTGAAAACCCTATCAGACATTCCATCCTCCCGGGAGGGGAGCAGCGTTATAGTCGCAAACAAAAGCCACATGCACTGGTACCGATAAGGCATCTGTCTTTTCCAGTCTCCTGAGACAGGAAAAGACTTAACCTTTCCCTGGGCAACTGAGAACTTGGTAACAAGCCAGTTTTCTAGTAATGGTAGTAGTTATAATTTATTTAAAGACGTGACACAGGAAGTGGTTGCCCGTTCTACCGAGCCAGGGACTCAAGATAAAAATGCTCGAAAAAAAACAACTACAAAAATAATGTAGAAATTTCACCTATAATAACCTTTCTGGTAGCTTATTAAGACATTACATCGTGTTTGTCCTTAACAAGAGATCGCCCTATGTGTCCATCACAATACTTCAACATCGTATTCACCTGTATATTTATCATTGAGGCGATACTAAGAATTATCGCCCTGAGATGGGGATATTTTCAACAGCGCTGGAATGTGTTTGACTTCGTCATTGTCGTATTGTCGATAGTAGGTAAGAAATTGTCAGGATATCGAAATTTATGCCATGCCATAGAGAATACAGCCAATCAAAATACAGGAAAGCCGTTTTATATTTGACAGTATAACACTCAACCTTCCCATCGCGCGCCACGCGTATGTCGCATTGATTGTGTTGATCACTGTATTTTCTACGGCGTAGTTATGTGACGCTCTCTTGTGGTATACCACGGAATATCAAACTTGTCACATGTATTTTCTTGGTATCAGTACACACCCGTCGTATACCGAGAAAATACAAGTGACTCGTGGGATAATCCATGGTATACCACGAGAGAACGTTGCATAACTAGTATATAAGTTACTTTTTATTCAAACTGTGGATATTGAAGTGTTTTATGCCGGGAACCCGTCTTTCGAGTGCTTTATCGCACTGAGATGTGTCTGGTTGCCAATGACTACGGACTAGTTACTGGAAACTCGCACCATCTTGTACGCTACTATTTGAGTTGTTGTTCTTTACCTAGATTTGAAATTTGCGGAAGATTATGAATTCCAAATGTCAAACTGAACATTTTCTAAGGTTCAAATTAAAAGAGAATATTCATCAACAGAATTCGTATCCACGCTCGTAACAACTAAATCTAAATGCTCGTGATTTCATTTTGCCGAGGTATTGTACTATCTTTCTTTTCCTTATGTTTTACAGTTTATCTATGGATCACAGTCTGTCGTTCCGATGGCTTTTTTACAAGTGTCATTTTATTTTTAAGGTGGTCTAAATATAGCGAGAGGCGCTGGCATGATGGCTAGCTCGCTGGACTTGAGTAGTCCGGGTTGGAGCCCTGGCCTGGGACGATGCGTTGTGTTCTTGGACAAAGACACTTTATTCTCACAGTGCCTCTCTTCACCCGGGTGTATAAATGGGTACCGGCGAATCTAATGCTGGGGGGTAACCCTACGATGGACCAGCATCCCATCCAGGGGGGTAGTATACATACTCCTAGTCGCTTCATGCTACAGAAACTGGCTTTATGGGCCACTGGTTTGACGCAAACTTGACCTAAAGTAGCACGACCTCCCAAGCCTCTTTAATAAAAGTCGTTTTTTTTTAATTGCTTTGCAGGTATACTTGTGGAGAACCTTAACAAGACAGGCATCATCATAACACCTAATCTCTTACGTGTTGTTCGCGTATTCCGAGTTGGCAGACTTCTCCGCTTCTTCGAGAAAGCTAAAGGCATTCAACGGCTCATGTTCTCACTTATAATCTCCTTGCCAGCGCTGTTCAATGTGGGAGGCATACTTTTTCTCATTATGTTCATCTACGCCATCATAGGAATGTCCTTCTTTGCCCATGTCAAGAAGACAGGCGCTTTGAATGACGTGGTCAATTTTGAAACGTTTTTGAACTCGATGGTGTTAATTTTTCGCCTTATGACTGCGGCGGGCTGGAACGATGTTTTAGAACCATTGATGATCCAGCCGCCAGATTGTGACCCGAATTATAAAGGGCTGTCGAATGGCAATTGCGGAAATGGCTGGATCGCAGTTTGTTACTTTTCAAGCTTCATTGTAATTATTTTTCTAGTCCTTATCAACATGTACGTTGCTGTAATACTGGAGAATTATAACAACGTCATGGAGCAAGAAAAGATTGGAATTACCGGAGAGGACATAGATTTGTTCTATCAACACTGGATGCTGTATGACCCAGACAGCACTCAATACATTTATTATAAAGATCTGTCGGAGTTTCTGCACACCTTAAAGGGAAACCTGAGAATTAAACAACCAAACAAGGCCGCATGCGCGCTCCTGAATATACCGCTGTACGAAGACGACAAGATTTACTGTCTGCACTTGCTGCAGGTTTTGGTAAAGAGAGTTTTAACTGGCTACGAGGAGTTTGATTCCGAGGAATTTAACTTACTAATGAAGCGAATGGAGGAAAGATTTCGAGCTGTTTTTCCCGCAGTAACACATTACCGTCAAACCACCACCACAATGGATAAAAACCGCGAGATTGTCGCCGCAAGGGTTATAACACGCGCGGTCAGGAGATACCGGGAAAGGAAACGTAGAGAAGCCTCGTCATTGAGTGTTGCTGATGCTGGGAGTAAACCAGACACAGGAAACATCAATCATGGATTGAATGAGCATGATATGAACACACTAGTACACGGAGGGTTAAACAGAAGCCGCATAGCTGACTTAGTACTCTCTGGGGACAGGCTGAGTGATTCTCTTCCTAATCTATACAAAACTAATCACTTACAGCCGCTGAAAGGTAAAACAAAGGCAACAACTGCATGGACACCTTCACTGGAAAAAACAGTTTTCACTAGGGTGGACACAGTGAGACAAGGAACACCAAGGTCTGCGCCACTCAAGAAAATAGACGTGATGAAACAGCCTACAATCGATCACACTAAAAAAAACTAAAATAAGCAGTGAGCCGATTGACTCTACAAGCAAACCTAGTTACAGCTGAGTACAATGTAACAACTGCAAAAAATCTTCGAAAGAAGTTCCTGCGGCAACAAAACATGCAATGTTTTCTGAATTTTCTTTCTATTTATTTTTTTAAGCGTTGGCCTTCCAGTGAGAGCTATTTTGCAAATATGATATGTTCAGATTTAAGTTGTTTATGTTGTTTGTAACTGATTGTTTTTCTTGTTGGAGTACAAATTCTAAGAAATATATTTTGAAATAGAATAGACACTGAATAGATGAAATTCTCTGATATTTGAACTGCGGGATAAACATTTAAGTAGTAGAAAAATCATCCCATACGCAGTTGCGATAAAGCCCGAAAAACAGTGGATTTTATTTGGTTGTGGATGTAACTGCGATGGCGTTTCTTCTAATTTAACTTCTTGTTTTTTTCTTATTTAATTTGAAGTGTCCTCTTCGTAAGTTTACACTCGTTCTTCAGTTTGCTGAACCCTCCGGCTGAAATCAGATTCACATATTATTTCGAGCGATATGCCTCCCTGCGTGAATCGCCTTGTTTGCGATCTAAGATTTTTATTTTCTAACTAGCCTGGATTTCACTGATCTGAGCACTCCTCACTGATCTGAGCACTCCTCACTGATCTGAGCACTCCTCTCTGATCTGAGCACTCCTCACTGATCTGAGCACTCCTCTCTGATCACGCCCTAAGAGGGCTAGACATTGAAAGATTCAAAGCATTTGCAATAGATGAGATGTCCATCTTCGAAAGATGGCCACAGTCTACGTTGTCGTCCCTCCGAGTAACCGCATATACATGTTATCTTTTCCAGTGTTTTTTGTTGTTGTTGTTGTTGTTGTTGTTGTTGTTGTTGTTGCGTAGGGGTCGCAAAGTTCACAAATATTTTTCTCGCTGCCCTCAGCTAAGAAGTGTCAATATATCTGTGCTCGATGAAACGGAAAGTTCTTTTACAAAATAGCCCAAAGAAAATATGCTCGCGGATTGGTTTAAAATCATGTTCCTATTAACAATTAGATTACGAGCTCGAGATTTCTATGAGCTGATAGTTGATGAGGATCAACTATCACCTCCTCGAGATGCGCGCGCAGCCGGCTTATGTCCTCCAGCCATGACCTGATTTCCCAGTTAAGGTCCACGGAGACGGTTATCTCTCAGTATTGCCATATAGTTTCGCCATTACACGACTTTTTAGGAGATAAAACGAGCTATATCTCTTAGTAAGTTTGCTTGATAAAGAAATTAAGTTCTTACTGTGACGTGTAAATAATGAACTCATTTTGGGCGTGTCATAGTGTTCGAAATCCTTGGCAGACAGGTTTCATCAAAGAATGCGAAGAGTTTACTTGGCTTTCATTCTTTTGTTACTGATCTTTTGCCTCGTTTCTGGAAAATATGTATCCGGAGGTATCAGCAACGGCCAGAAGTGGGTGCTGGTTTCTGACTTTTCCTTCATCGAAGATATAGGCCAGTTAAAATATGATGTGGAATATTCAGTAACGAATGAATGTTGTCCAAGCCTCGCTTATTACTCGCACAACTCTTATGAATCTGCTTCCTCTAATGACGACATGGATTGTTCTTCCAAGCTGTCTTATGCTGAAGATGTGCTTACATTCCAAAATGTACTGCTTAACGTTTCAAGCAACACTGGAAACTTTTCCATGCAGTGTTCTTCAAGCAACGACACTAATCTTCGGAAATGCTCAGGAAAACTTCGGCTCCAATCGACACGCGATCGATGGTGGTTCTTCGTGTTAAGCCATTGCAGTAGTACGAACGGTTTAGACATTTCCTACGAGTTAACTTTCACGAACGGAGACTCGTGGGAGAGACACTTACCGGCTGAAGAAATGCATAGTCTCGAATATAAAGCAGTGCCCCTGGCAGGCAATATTTTGCTATTTGTAGTCGGTTTAATTTTCGCACGCCAGCTTCTTGACCAAGGTAAGCTCCATCGGGCGTACAAGCTTTTTATGATGACTCTAAGCTGCGAAATAGCCGCTCAGGTGTTTGACTATATTTACTACACACATTACGTTGGCAATGGAATGCCACGTCATCCTTTACAGACCGGTGCTGAACTGTTTCATTCCATAAGCGAAGTTATCTTTGTTGTTCTACTCATTCTGTTAGCAAACGGCTGGATAATAACCACAGGTCATTTCGACCGCGAGAAGCAAGTAAGACTCAAGGTTTTCCTTTGGCTCTACATCTTAACCTACGAAATTCTATTCGTTTTCAAAACGTTCTTTGATTCGGAAGTATCACACATCCCGTATGAAAGCTATCTAGATATTGCTGTTCGTAGTTTGAGAACATTAGCTTGGGCTTGTTTTATTTATGGAACTTCGTTTTCAATCAAAAGGCATCCCGAGAAGAGAAAGTTCTACAATTACTTCCAGCAGTTTTATTCTGTGTGGTTCCTTTTTCCACCACTTTCTGCCCTAACGTTCTCCACGTTGTTTGACGAATTGCACCAACTAAAATATTTACGACTCGTTCGCCTGCTGAATCCTTTGATATGTTTCCTGGGATTCGTTGGGCTTCTTTTTATCATGCGACCAAGCAAAGTCAATACCAACTTTCCCTTTCATATACGCGGGAACGAAGTGGACGTAGTGGAAACTCAAGAGCCGTCCACTTTTCAACATGCAGATGCTTTCATGGATCTAGGCAACCAGTATGCTACTCTGGACAGCGATCAAACTAAAGTGCAAACTCGAGAAAGGGCTGATAAAGCTGGTCTTGGCTTTCGTTTCTAATTAAATTAATTGCAAACGCATGCTTCCTCTTTTTCCGTTTTGCTTAAAAACTTGAAGCAATTGAATTGTACGTTTTTAATTAAGGAGTCCAACCGGCTGAGGTATTTTTCTTTCCTATATATAGTGATGTAATTCTTTATCATCAAGACTTGATCAACTAAGAGAATTGTAAAGAAAGAACGCACAAAACTTCAAAGCAAAATCAGAATTGTCCTTATAACCAGAAAACACATTTGAAACCTTGCATCACTTGTTTTCCTTGTCTAAAGGGGCTTGTACTCAAAAACTTGTACAAATTTCACAATCAATGTCGTTAACGGGAACATCTTTTAGATTTTACTGAACCGAAGAATGCTTTGTTTCTGCAGCTGAGTCTGTGGTTTCACAAGACTCACAAGGGTCTCCCCTTTTTTCTATTCATTAATTATAGACGGATTTTTAATTAACTCCGGTTTGTGACGATAATGTTACGGTGTTAATTATATCTTAATTGACTTTGTAACGATACTGTCACCTGCTTCGAATAAATTAAAGTAATTTGTCCTTTATAATAAATTACACTGGCAAGCCTTTGAACTTGGCTTCAAGCAGGGACTAACCGTTAATAAACTGAAACTGGATGCTGTATTTTGTTTGTGGGGTATTAGTGACAGGCAGGTTTTGTTATTTATCTATAAATCGTTCTCTTCTCCTTGTTCCAATCAATAAAAGAAGCGCTACCCTAGAGAAAGGAATGATTATATCTTATAAAATATTTAAAGTTTGAAATCAGCTGTTCATAGATTCGATGCTGAATATATTACACACAGCTGTAGTTGTTAATATGATTCAAAATTCCACTCCACGTAAAAACTAATTTCACGCATGAATAATCGAAATAAGAGAGCTTTCTGGACAGAGCTAGATCGCGTTTGAAGTTTGCTGTTAAAGACCCAGTTTGCATAAGGCCTCCTCGCGTTTAACTTTGAATATCACTTGTATGGGGTTAACAGCGTTGAAGAAAAATATTTATATTGACAATTACTTAGTCCAGTCGTGGAATGAATGTAGAACTCATTCTTTCATTCGTATTTTTATTAGCATTGAAAATCACCTCAAAAGTTACCTCTGCCTATAAAAACGAGCAGAGCAATAGGAACCACAGTACTTGAATCTTCATGATTAGTCTTCAGATAGAAGACGCTAAAGATGTTCCAACACAACACAATATGGTCGGATTTACTGCAGAATGTGTGCATTGATTACCTGAAAAACTCCGAAATTAGTGCAGATTACGCTTTGACTGTCGATCCATTATATATCGCAAGAGAGATTTACATTTGTGAAGTCCATGCTTTTCCTGTTATATTCATACATACGCGTTGCACGATCATAGAAGGCAATTCAGTTCAGCGAGCAGTTAGTTGAGGATCTCACGTATCCAGAAAATCATTTTTACTGGGTATGTTTGAAGACTGTGTCTGTCAAGACCCTCGGACTTTAATACATTGGCACAGTGAAATTACTTCCAAAGGTATGCATGTGGCTTAATTCTTAATGTTTTAGATAGAGCGGATACCAACCCAAATTTGCTCGGTTCAATATTTGGTACCTTTGTTCTTTACATACGATTTTTTCATTACGTACAGTCGACGCAAAGGCCATCCATTCCAGCTCTTCGGCATTGAATATGATGGTTTAAAGAACTTATCTACCATGTGCATAAAGTCTCAGTGACTTGGCCGGAACCCACAGGTATCGTTTCAACGATGGTCAGTAATCCAACCGAGTAGCCAGAATAGATAATCAAAGATTTCAGTGATGAATTGAAGAAAGCTGAGAGAACAGTTTGTGGTGTATCAAGATGGTACGGCAGTACTAATGGACTTTGATTGTTTAGAATAATCAATACAGTTTGGCAGTTAACGACGAGGATAAAAATAGCATGAGAACAAGTTTAGATTTAAAATCAGCTTGGGCAGAACATCGTCTCTTATATTGAAGTCAACAAAAATTACTTGTTTGAACTCAGTACACTCTAGTAATAAGTTTACTTTCTGTATTACAGTTTTACGATGTTTCATCTCAAAATCTCACTCAGTTAAATCATGGTACTGGGCTCTAAGTTAACGGTATTATTTTCTTACAAACGTAGCAAAGCTCTTTCATTTTTATTACTAAAAACAAGCTAATGAATTCCATGGAAACAAAGCACGCTCGCCATATTTGCGAACCGACCAACTGGTCTTAAAAACAAGCAAGTTAAATTTATCGACGTGTCACAAGATGGGTAATTAAATACTAATATTGGCTTGAAATTGACCTGACCCAAGGGTTCATCGCAATAGCAAGCGGCAAAATAGAAGGTCTGCCACGTATAACCCTGCTGGGTCATATCTGAGTTATTTTATAGTTCACTGATAAAACTGTCGCCTAGAGTTTGATCAAACTTGCTATTAGTTCAGTCGCAGTCTACAATAGACATCTTTTCACGCGTGCGATTGCAGCGTTATAATTAGTCAATTGAAAGTTCTCAACAAAACAAAACGTACCTCCGTAAGCAGAAGAAATCACACATGTGAAAATAAGCCTAAATTTTTGAAGTTGTATCGTTCCGAAATAATTTTCCTTTAATGTATTGCCATCCTCACTTTCATCGTTTCTTTTTGGGCGAGTTTGAGGAATTCGTCTGATATTTCGAGAGAAAAGTAACAGTTATGCTTCAAAACCCAGCGGGTAACTTGTTGATATAACAATGCTTCAATCTCTTCTCCGTTTTGCACTGTCAAATGTTTTGGATTCGAATTGCAATTTGTTTTATTCAAATCCTCCAGTGCGGTTTTATAGAAATCTCCAATGACGGACACAATATCTTTGAGAGGAACTGAGCTTTTCCATCGTGCACTCTCAAGTGAATCCTGAAACACATTTGTTTGATATTCGCCGAATAAAAATTCTCTCCTAAAAACGTGGAAACCGCAGATTGCACCAGAAACCATGTTTGCATCTACTCGTAACGGAGTGTCGTTAATGAGAACAATACAGCTGCCACGTTGTGAAGCAGGTGTGCCGCATAACTCTCCAAGAACCTCTTGTGGGAGAGACAGCAGTAATTCTGTTGTGAGCAACCTTGTCTTAGCTTGCTGAATACAAAGATCAGTAAGGCGCGGAACTCCAGAAACCGTTTTCATTTTCTTTGCTGATAAACAGACTCAATCATTTTCTGATGAAACTGTGGATGTGAAACTAGCTTGAAGGACTTGTAGCCTGTGTACAAACGCGGCCCGTGTACTCTCTTGTGGTGTTTGTGCCTTATAGCCTGTGTACAGACGCGGCCCACGCTCTCTTGTTGTGTCTCTGCCTTGTAGCTTGTGTACAGACGCGGCCCGTGTGTAATCTCGTTGATAATCGCGTTCCTTGCATAAATTATCCACCCTGTGTCACGACATCTAACATGACACGCGCAAACAACGAAGGAAATTGCTCTCTGACCTTTTTGCGCGTGATCTTTACACGAGAACGTTTTGACCTTCACGCTCAGTCCACAGACACTCGAGAAATAATTTTGTTGCCATAAAATGCTGATTACCTATCTAATGCTATTAGATTATTATAGGCAGCAAAATCGCAGTGAGAAAGATTAGGGAAGGTCCCAAATGACGCTTTGATTGCCATTGTGTGATCCCACGGACAAAAGAGACTATTCAGGAAAAAGTAAACACGAACTCTCTCAAACTATGAACCCCAGGGGAGAGTAGAGGGTGGCTAAGGTGGGGTACTAATCACGCATCACGCTGAATTTTTCTATTAAATCACGCATCACGGAGAATTTTTTTCACCAATCACGCGTCACATAAAAAGAGGTAAGTACATCGCCAATTGACCAACAGACCTCAGAACGAGGCTCTGGGGAATAAACCCTACAAACTCTGCACCTACCATCTCGACCCTAAAAGCGTCGTTAAAAGAAGAACTTTCCGGATTAAACCACAAAAATGCATCCGCAAATATGTGACCTCTCACACGAAAACGTTCCTTACGGTATCCGTTCGACCGGCTGAACGCACGGTAAGTGAACGGATAATTTGAATAACAATAGTCAATTTACTTGTTCCAAGATATCTTAAGACTACTTGGTTGATAACCACTCAATAAATGTGTAATGACTCTAGAAACGATTTCATGAAATGAAATCGTTTGAGGGTAGTGTGTGGAAGTGTGAGGGTAAATGTGAGGGATTCGTGAGATGTGGGCTGTGTAGGCATATGTTGGAATTAATACGTTCGTGTAGGTATATGTGGGGGATTACTGAGATGTAGGCTGTGTAGGAACGATGTGTGTATTGCGGTGGGTTAACTACCTTAAGCTATACTGAAGAAGAAGATGCAAACGATTGCCGTGTAGTAATGGGGAAGATAAAAAGGTATTGCATCGGCGAAGTAATGTAAACGAGATTGTTTCAGCAGGAGGGAAAAACTTCCTACCGAAACGCTCGACAACTTAATCGCTCAATTAAAAAGAACCTTGGCAAAAAGAGCCGCAATTCATGTGATTTTTTACGGTTTTTACACGATACTCTCATCTACGTTCGATTGGTCTTGGGATAAAACATGATAAAGCATGAGCAAAGCACAAAGCAGCCGCTTAGGATGAAAGACCCCACGTTAAACAAGTGTATCGACCTCCCAGCATCCGAGATGCAAATATAGGGATCTTAACAATGACGACGGCGACGCCGTGGACAACGCCTTGTAAAATTGAATTTGTCCAGGATGCCTATGGCTCTGAAACCTCGCTCAGGCTAAATATGTAACGACAGCGTTCAATTCTAAATGTTACCAATACCTCGCTTTGGTTTTAGTCTTTTTAAATTTTGTCATATTTCGTAACCGTCACTTCTGAACATGTGTGTTGTAACATACGAAACGTCAAGTTGAATATACCATGCGTAATCTATTTGTTATGTTTGTTGTTTTCTATTTCTCCTGAAATTGAAATGGCCGAAAAACAAGAATTTTTATGATGCAGCTTTATTCCACATATAGAGACGTTCGAGCGAAAATCTTCTCAATGTAGATTTTTTCTGCTGTGAGATATTTAGTACTTGCGCCAGAAATGCAAAGAACAAATGAGAAACATCGCCAATAAAATTTAAGCTAATCACTCGGTGACGAAATCGTTTCACCAATAGGTCGAATATTACTTGAACTCTGCTGAAAGCCTTATACATTGATTATGCGAATTTACTAAAAGTATAACAAGAAGCGAAAGAGCGAAGAGAGGATCGATTTAATCTCCCAACAATACCTACAACTTGGATTTTACAAGTTAAAAAGGTATAGGTTTTGACCATTTTGATCTGTAATAGGGTTTGTTTTTCACTCTGGCTTGGCATTGGGTGTTTATTTCGCATCAACATTGGCAAATGTTCACACAAGGGTAGCCATGTCTGGTTAGCTGCGGTCACATATAAGAGCAGTGAGCTAATTTTAGAGGTCTTAACTCGATTTTTCGCTCAGGTCTGAAATAGGGAATGGAAAATCGTACATTTTGGTCTGAAATAGGATACAGGTTTCAAGGTTCGGGCCTCACACTCCACCAAAAACTTTGAGGAGGTACCCCTGGCTGTAAAATTATCTTCCATGTCAGGTTTATAGAGGTAGATGAGTATATTTCATTGTTTTCTAGAACGAAAAACGGGTCTATTCAAATTAGCTCTCGCACACATACACACGTACATACGTTTATTACAACCCCCACTCTGGACTTTTCAGCCACAAAATACAATTCTCCAGAAACTTGCGTGATTTTTCAGTCGCTTTGACATGACTACTATGATTGACTCTGTCAGCTGTTATCAGTAGTTTCCAACTTGCCTAGTCCCTGGGCCTCGGTATTTCGCAGCGGTCAATCCATTTCGGGTCACGTGGTCTGAGCGAAGAAGCAAGACCTGGAGCCGGGGGATGTGAAAGTAAGAAATTTTGTCTCATTTAACTATGCCGATTAAATCATTTGTGAAAGAGCTCTCTCCGCTAGAAAACCTACAAGAAAATATTCGCTGGAAGCGCTATGCAGGTGTGACTGGAAAATAATTAGGGACCGGTCATTGTTTAATTGCCGGGGGTAAGGGGATCCGGAGGATTTGGGGCGGGGATCATTTCATTTTTAGGATAACAGAAGGGGGGATCAGTCATAACTGAGAGGTCAAAAGAGGGGGGCATCAAATAGCCGAATTACTGTTAAATGTCACATGTCCATACGGACTAGGTGGACGTTTAACGTTATTTGGCACTCAAACAAGTAACTTTGCAGTTTCCACGCACTTGGAATGGTTAGATTGCTGCTGGGGCGGATCCAGTGGGGGTCGAGTCCCCTGAATTGAGACATTATAGCACACTGACCTCGCCTCAGAATGCCGGAAATCCCATTTCCGAGGACCCCCCTACAGGAAGCGCTATCCATATCTCGAATGCCCTTCTCTAAAATCCTGTATCCGCCCCAGTGCTGGTATGTTAACCGACATCAGATATCGGCATCCAGACTAGCAAAAGACACGGATCAAGAGATCGCACCATGGCGGCTTTAATATACTATAAGTACATTAGATATATTCAGGATATATTATTTGCATATGAACGTTAAAAGCACTAACTATTCACGTCGAAAGGTGAATGTGCGTACGAAGAAGTGGGGGGGGGGATCACGAATTTATCAATAGTTATGAGGGGGGGTCACTTCAATGAAATGACATTTAAAGAGGGATCAGCCAAATGTCACTCTCTTTAACCGAAAATCCTCTGGACCCCCCCTCCAAGGCGGTGAATAATCATCGTCATCATCATCTTTATTTAAAAACACGGTTCCGTGCTGTAATATACCTTATTATGATGTACTTATAGTATTTTAAAACCACCATGGTGCGATCTCTTGATCCGTGTCTTTTGCTAGTCTGGATTTTGATATCTGATGTCAGTTAACATACCAGCACTGGAGCGGACCGTTGTTTTAGCTAGCGTAAAAACAGAAACACCATCGACTCCTCTGCGTTATGGAAACTCTTCGAGATTCAGTCCTTGACAGCGAATTAGCATAATTATAAATCTCCGCTCGAGAAATTTAGCCTGGCTTGAAAACTTAGGGTGCGTTCCTTTGGGATGATCTGGATCAGGATCAGTGATCCAAGATAACCCGGATCATGACGCATCAAAGGAACCGATGAATCCGTGACCAGAGTGGATTCGTCGGTTCCTTTGATGCACCATGATCCGAGTGATCTTGGATCACTGATCTGGATCCGGATAACCCCAAAGGAACGCACCCTTATATTGCGGCAACTAAACCGAAACCGTTGAAAAACGTACAAAATTTAGAATCGAAATTAACCAATCGAAAAAAAGCAAAGTTTCCTGAGCGGTTCGCAACAATTCCCACTTTGTTGCGTTTTAAGTTTTTGTTAAGATCTATTGTTCGTATTCTTCAATGTTATTGGTTTACTTTGAGTAAAGGATCGCTATCCTTTGTTCTCAAGTAACGTTCTGATTGGTTAACTCTTGTCTAAGTGGGCCGCTTTGAGTAGTCGCACTGCAACAAATCGACGTCATGAATTTCGTCATAACATTGTCAAAGAAGCTGTGGATCCACCAGGCGATGGCGAAGTGGATCCGCAAACTACTTTGACAATTCATTGTCAATAACAGGACAGCTGACTTCAATTTGGTAAAAATTTAAATTGCACTGTCAGTGATTGTCAGTGATTGTCAGTGATTGTCAGTGATTGTCAGTGATGAAAATAACTTTACCGGAAGTTACCGACAAATGCGCACGCGTAGTTTACCAAAACAATATGAGATCTGCTCAAGATGGCGGACGTCGGGGGAATTCGTCGAGATGTTTCGATAGCATCTACACCCCAAAGACCAGTTCCAATGAAATTATTTGCCACTTGGGAAGTAGAAAGAACATCGCCCAATTGTGTACCGCGGTGAGTGAGTTTTAAACGTATTGGTGGGTTTCAAAGCACTTGCAAATATTGTTAAGACAGCATGTTCAGTTGACAGTAATGCATGGTTGTTTCCCGAAGGTTAGTTTGTAGTATTCTGTTGAAATGCTTCTCATATAGCATGCACTGTAATCCTCTAATCATTAGATTTTTCTAAGTCTCCACACAAATTAAAATGCGAAGTTTTTTTTAATACCACAGAGTGGAGTCAAAGAAATGAGTGTATGCTTCAATCTTTAATCTTTATTTGTCAGTGAAAACATTCGCGTTTATAGTGCACATAGTTATATCGGAGCACGTGCCGTTGTGAAGGCATTCTGGAAGTTTGCAATCTTACGTCTCCAATATGACAATTTTTTTCACTTTGCGTTTGGAGGTTTTTCAAAGGAGGTAGTGACATTTTTAAAGTAAACTATGCGGTCGTGAAACTTGCACATCTTATCTTTAATCCTTTGATTAACAAATTTATTTGCATTGGAGTTATCCACAGTTATGAAATTATTTTTGCTATGTCTTTCCACGCAACAGCTCATGCGAAATTTGATTTGGATCGAAGTTCATCAAGGAACAAAGATCACGACAAAGCGAATAAGAAAGATCAAGCGTTAATTTTCGCCTTCATCGCCTTCAAATTAAAATCAGATAAGCGTTATAGCTTTTCGCTTTGTGTTCGACCTTGAGCAAACAGAGAATCTTTCTGCTGTGGTTCAGAATTTCGCTAAACGTAAGATGTGGTTCAAGAGCAAAAATGCAAATTTATGTTGTTGACACATTCAAAGGTATGGCACGCTTTTAAAACTTGGAGCGTGACTATTAAAGCGAGGTCGTTTTCTGACATACGAGTCAAGCGAAGAAAGGTTCAAACGAAAACGATAAAGTTTTTTGAAATAATAAAATTTCACATTTGTTTTGGACAAAGTGGAGAAAATGGCCGATTAGGATTTATTAATTCTTGCTTTGCATGCTGCTGTAAATATCATCAAATGTAGCCATTGCACAAAAGCGTTTAAGTTTTTTTTTTTTAATTTACGTTTTAGACACAGGGCTCTGGTTCTATCCATAAGATTTGTTGATTTTAAAGTACTCAAATTGTTGGAAAAAATTACACAAACCTGAGAGCGGATCTGTTTGTATGCAAATTACGTCTCCAGCTAATAATGGTTTTGTTGAGGTTAGACATCTGGCAGAGTTTTAAGAAAGGAGTTTTTGATTTCCTTAATCCTCTTTCGGGATTTAGCACCATAGGTGATTGAATTATATTTTGGGTCTTTGAAGGAAACCGAAAGATCTGGCTTTTTATAAAGCTTATTTTAATATCACTAAAAACTATTAGGGTTTGTTTTCAAATACAGTGATTTGAAACCTTTCTTGCTTGAAATTATTTATAATAATCTTTTCACGTTCAAGCTTTTAAATATAAAGTCCTTTTGCGTTTTAAAGTTGAAAATGTCAAACCTTCAAAATTTCCAGTTTTAAAAAAGGAACATGATTTTATATGATAATGATGTGATCTGACTACTGCCTAAAATAGCTAGATTGTATGGTTTGTGTGATTTAAAAACACAACAAATGTTATTGTTATAAATATTGAAATTAACAAGCAGATGTTCAGTACAGTTGACATCAATAATAATTATTGTGTAAGGAAATTGAGCTTTACAATAAGAAGGCTTTCATTATTTTATCAGTTTTCCTCATGTATAATTTAGCGCTTTACATGCCAAGGGTTATTTTGATATATGGATATTAATTTAAAAATAAACCAATGCATATATTAAGAACTTTTTTGTCTTGTGGAAAGCTCAAGTAACATTAATTCCTTGATGTCACCAAATACTTGCTTATGAAATTATTTAAATAATCACTGTGTCCTCTTTAACTATAGAAAATATAACAGAGCCACATTCTGTGCAGAGGAAACAGGATATGATGGACATGAGCATTGTCTGTTAATGGACCTGTGAACTATTTTGACATGTTTTGTTATTCTCTGACCTCTGTGTGCTTGGCTGGCTTTACTTTACATTAAGACAATGGCTTGGTATTTGAACTACATAGTATATTTGAAATGTGTTTGTTCCTGCAAGAGGTAATATAGGATTGGAAGTAAATGCAAGCCATAAATTTACTAACTACTTATAAACTAAGGGTGAGACCTTTACAAGTAAATCTTAAACCAATCGCTCTGTCATTACAGCAAGGTCGAGGTTTTAGATTTTCCCTGTAAAGATGGAACATTTGAGGTTAATAAGTTGTTATTTATACAACTTTTTGCTTTGGTTTTGTAGGCCTGTAATCGACCTTTGGGCATTACAGGAGAATAACACCCTAAAAGTAGCCAATTAGAGCACCCATGATATCGACTACAAACACAAGCCATATGATAAAGATTATGATCCTTCTCGCAGCTTAACTTTCTGTTAAAACATGCACACCCTCAGGACCAGAAATCTTGAACAAAAAAAATTCTTGCCTGACCTTTGACAGTTTCAAGAGGAGCATAGGTACAAAGTGACAATGACAAGGTAGTATGCAATGCCCTGGCTTGTTGCTGAGAATTTTTTTGAGTGACATCACTTCTCACAAGCATAAACCCAGATATAATGTATAATTATTTGTTAGTTTGTCCAATAGTTAGTTTTTCCCACCAAAAAGCCTTATGAACAAACTTGAGATGAAGGGTTATCATAGGAACTTGACAGTATGATCTTTTTACATGGAATAACTAAACTTTTTATGTGGTTTACCCCTGCAAAAGTCAAGAGCTATGTATTGACTTGATTGTGCTTCTACTTTAGGCTCTGTACTATGACACTGACACGATTGGAACTACTAAAGCCGCTGGAGCCAGGCTTAACAGAAGTTATTATTTCAGTCTCTATGCAGGTAAATAAAGACATCACTGACATATTTCTTATAGCTGAACACACAATATTTATGGTGAAATATTGCCCTGAAATCAGAGAGTGGATTGTTTTTCAACTGATCTTTTGGCCCTAATGTTAAAGAATCACTGATTTAGTGCACCAAACAATAATGTTATTGCCACTCTGGACAAGGAAGAACTAAAAGTGAGTTTTGTGGGCCTCAATACTCTTTCGTAATTAAATGAAAATATATCCTCATTGGCCGCTCCCTAATGGGAGTATCAGGGCCAATATCAACAAATTCTGATACAAATTATACACTATACAAATAAGCATAACTTATAAGCATAACAATATAGATAACAATCCCAGCTGGCAGGAGGCAGACCAGTTGCGGATATTTACAAAGTGTACCCCAGGAGTTAAACTCAGGAGCACCACAAATAAATACAACCAATAGAAAGGGAGGGGCTTGAATCTGAGACCTCTGGATTACGAGACCACCACCCTAACACTCTCAGCCAAGCGGCCTATTCCTCATTTTCCAAATTCAGTGACTTAATATAGCCTCTTTGAATCTTTTGTCCTTGATGTGTAAGAGTTCAACTTGGTATATGCATTTTTGGTCAGTGTTTCCCATTTTATACGTAAAGGCTCACAAAACACCTCTTCAATGTGATTGTTCTGCCAGGCAACTGCTTGGCCCATCAAAGTCTTACATTTTCTTTTTTCTATTTTAAGTGGATGCCTTCTTGGTGTGTTCTCCCTATTATAAGGTGTTCCGTCAACTTGGTTGGGTATGGCTCCACTCCAAATATTGAACCTTCATTTCAGGGGCAAAAAGTATCAGAATCATACAACTTTCTAGGAGAGTAATGTCTATCATGCCAAAAACTGTTAAAACAGGACATCTGACAGGATGTGCTGGGGCGAATCCGCATAATTTTCTAAGATCCGCATCCTCTGCATAATCAGCTTTTCTTTGCCTTAAACAGAAAAAAGTGTTTCTTATTAGTGATAAAGCAGCTGCTTACCATCCCCACAAGTGAAAATTCCAAAGAGATTGATTGTTTTGAAGTGGTTTTTCTCCTAAAACAGCGACAAAAACACACTGTTTGATTCATTAGTGACAAATTTTTAACCTCCAGGCATTCCAACCTACTTTAGGCAAAGAGCCTGGAAACTAGTTTTTTTCATCATCCAATGTAATGCCTGGTTACTAAGTTATGAATGTTCCAAGAACAAGTTTTCAAACAAAGTTCTACAGAAAACCAGTGTCAAATGAAGAATTACCTGTCAACAAATACTTGAAACAGATCAAGCATACATCAAAATTGGCAGGCATGATATTTAATAAATTTATTCTATTAAAGAGCTTTAAAAACTGTAGGTAAGAGTTTGAAGTGCTTTTTGTTTCACTGTTGGTGGGTGCATTGGAAAGGCTTTATTATCTGAAATTTTGTTAACTGTTGAAATTTCCACATAATCCCCTGTGTTTTCTGCATAATAGATGGATTTTTCTGCATTTCCAACCCCACCCCCTCTCCCCCCCTCCTCTCCGCAAATTTCAGCATAATTTGTTTTTTTTTCACACCCTGTCACATGGCATGTTGAAATAAGGCACTTCAACGCCATGTGACAGCAATCAATAATAATCAATGATAGTCAATAATAATTACTGACAATCAGTATTAATCAATGGCAAATATAGATTATTGATACCTAGCAATAAATTCTGTTTTATTACAGAGTTCCCGTCGGATACTCAGATCTAATGAAATAGTTCTTCCATCCACTGGACTGATTGACACTGAATTAGATTTGTCTTTTTCTCTTCAGGTTGGTATCTTAGTGATTTAATGATTTTTCCTGTGATCATAATTATCATGAAAATCACACAAGAGAGATAAATAATAAGCTCTTACTGCAGGCAAATTTGCAATTAGCCAATAAGAAGCCTTGTCTACTGTCCTGATATCCTGATGCTGTGATATCAAGTCACTGACTTGACAAAGCTATGATATCATGGTCACTTTGCCGATGTGGCTACACTAAATACCTAATTTTACTTTTTTTGGTTTCTGCAACATATCAGGCTTACTTTTGTTTAGCCATGAGTATTTTGGTGAGAGGTAGTTGAGCAAAAATATGAACCATGGCTCAACCAAACTTGCCTGATATGCCACCAAAGTGTACCAAAAGGGTTCAATTAGTTTATTAAAATGCTGCTCATGTCCCAGAGACCAAAACAAACAAGTAAGTGAAATCAAACATCTGGCCAAAAACAAACATATCTAGTACCAGCATTCAAAGAGTCAAAACTTATGTCTTATGTTAGCCTACAGTACAGGTGTATTTGGTGCGTGAGTGCACATTTTCATAGTAGGCTGCCATCTTGGATTTGATAAATGTAGAGGGTAGGAGGGAGGGAAAACTTGCAGAGGGAGCAGGCATGAGATTGGCAGCATCTAAAACCTGGTCTATTGAGTGTTCCATACAGATAAGGTATCAGTCACTTTATGGTGGGATGTTTCACGCAAACCCCAGTAAAGTATACATGTACATTTTCTGAAAGCTTAAGAATTGTAGATTTCGAAGGTATATTTACTAAAATAAAAAAAATTTAAGATTTTCTGATTATAGCACCCTATTTCCCAAAGTACTGAAGTTTACTAATCAAGTTTGTTTCTAGTCGGATTTGAGCAATAGGATGCGATCAACATCCCTCTGTCTTCTTGACACCTTTCTCTAAAAAACCGTGTCGGGAAATTTTGATTACTTGTCTGGTTTTTTTTAAATACAATCCAGTTAAACTTTGAGTTTTGATAAAACATGCATTCTCTTCACTACTAAGAAGAATTCTCCAACTCTGTTTTTTTGCCTGATTATTGGGCAGCATTCTCTCCAAATTTCAGTGAAAAACATGAAAAACTCACCAGAAACAAACTCAAAATGTGCACCTCACTCACTGAAATTTTCATTTCGAGATATGAAGAAAAATATGATTTGGGGCGTTCTTCTGGTGTAATGATATAATTACACAAAATATGTGAAAATAATGATGTGTTGATTGACCAAGGGAACGCTCATTTTACATTAACAATAGAGCTCCTATTAATTACAAAGGAGTCTCAAATATTGCCTCCAGTGAGAAATATCCTTTGCAAGATCTGAATTCCACCACTCGTGCACCCAGGTTAGTAACAAAATAATTTTTGCTCCTGTTTCTTCCTTTCGATTTTTATGACACCTTAGCTTAGATGTAGACAATGAAAGAGCCCACTTGTAAACAACGTGAAGGAAACCCACAAGATACTCATTGGGTTGAGATGTTACTGTTTATACCGCTTTGAATGGAGAAAGCACCAAGGAAGTAATGCTTAGAAAATTTCAAGTGTCTTCCTTGTTCAGTGCAACCAACTTCTCCTGCTCGAAGCAGGAACCTTTGTCGCTAGCAGCCAATGCATCAGCCCAATTCTGATCGAGTGTTTTTGAAACCTTCCCCAAAATTTTTCCTCTGTGGTGCTTTCTTCGTACTTGCAAATGGGTACAAGCTTTTACGTTTCTTCGATGACATATTTATCTTAAATCAACAATCTTGCTAAACATACCTAAACAAAACTGCATGCAAAATTTGGAGCATTTTCGACAAAGTTCACTTTTGATTAAAATACCTGATGCCCTTTTCCCGCCGAGGCCTTCAAATAAACGAAGCCGGGCCTTTGTTATGATAAACAGAGCCGATCTTTTGTTATAATAGCCAAGCCAAGCCTTTGTTATAAGTCGAAGTCTCGCCTCGGTTTATCATAACAAAGGATCGGCCTGCCGCGACCACAAGGACTTTGATTTTACTTAGAAACCAGCAAAATGTCAATTTCACGCAGCTTATATAAGCTCAAATTTGTTGATTTCAG